CAGCTATCGTAAATAAGATAATTTAAAAGTAAAGTTTTTTTTAAATTAAATTTGTCTTAATATAGGTCTTTTAATTAATAAATTACAGGTTTAAATAATTTAATATATTACATTATATCATTTAAATTTCATCACAATTTAATGTAAAACACACATCATACCTAAAATAAATTGATACAGGATACAAAATACAAAGATAGTTATTATATAATACAACGATAGTTATTATGTACTATAGTACCAGTCTTTCAAATCCATAATATTAACTGATCATAACTAGGCAAACACGGTATGAAAGGGGAGTCAAGAAAATGTAAACACTTACCTGTGGGGATTGTGGTAGTCCAACTAGTTTCGCAAACAGATGTGAAGTGAGGGATGATCTTACCTGGGTAAAGATCAGGGTAAGATGCGGTTGTCCCTTTGTCGTCTAGACAGGGCACCAATACACAATAGATGATTATGAGGGTATACTTTGGTGGACATTTCTATGAATCATTCTTCAACGATTCAAGTGACAATTCAATGGACCTATAGAGAAAAATATATTTTTATGAGAAAAAATTCTGAAATTCATTGGGGATTTTTTATGTGGGTGAACGGATGATCAATTTTGTTTTCATGGGCCATTAATGTTGAGGGATGCAATAATTTAAAAAAAAAAATTTTTTTTTTTATGGAAAAGTGATTAAAATGTGCTAAAAATTGTTCCGAATTTCACTCGAATTCAATTTTTCTCTATTTGACAATTGTCTTCTTACCTTTAAAAATCTTTTTTCTTGCTGTAAAATAAATTGCTGTTCTACACAGGTAATCGTCTAAAACAGAAGTTTTATGATAGCTTTACTCTAGCAATTTTTTTAAAAAATATTTTCGCAGTGTGGATTTATGAAAATCGGGACACATCTGTTCATATTATGCTCTTTTCCCTAATTGATCATGATTCATATCGTAATTCCAATAAAATTTTTTACACAATTGAACCTCATAAAACTGCTAAATTTAAATTCATATTAATTATTTGCATGTTATAGTTTCAATTCTTAAAAACGCAAATTGATATTACAAGATGAAAAGTAATTAAATAGCTTTTAATAAATAATACTATTATTATAATTAGTAAAATATATTGTAATAATTTTAATATTTAAAAAATAACACTAGAGATAAGTAATTATATACTATGAATAATTCTTTGTTTCGAACCATACAATATAAAATTTTAATACTTTTTATTTAAATGTAAAACTATACATTTATATTATAATAACTTTGAAATGTTATAAATTAAAATATGATGCAATGTAGAAAAAAATCAAAAAAGCGACGTGTTCAATTCTTTTTTAAAGCAATGTCTTATTTATACTATTGTGAACATTTAATTAATTACTTTTATTTATATTAGTTAAACTTAAATATCTCACTGTGGGTTTTCATAATTTATCCAAAAAACTGTTTACTATTTCCATTAACAGTTTTTAAGAGTATAATTTTTAAAATTTATTAATTATTTTTTCACAAATTGAAGATACTTCAAAAATGCGGCTATGTGAAAACTTGTAAGTAATGCTGATAAGTAAAACTTTTCTATTTTCAATATTAATCTTTAAGAGTGTTAATTAAGCATTTTATTCATTTTTTGCATCAAATTGATTAATATTTATTAAATGCGACTATTTGAAACTTTAAACCACTACAACTAAGATAAACACTGTTTATAATTATTATTTTTATATCCAGTATCAGTTTTTATGAATGTAACTAATTCAGAATTTGAAATATTAAAAATATTTATAAATACCTGTATTTGAACCTTCGGTACAACTTAGTAAAAATAATAATGAAAAAAAAAACTAATAAAAGAGTTTTGAAATAATATAAATAATAAATAGATAAATATAGATAATAAATAAATAAATAAATAAATAATAAATAAATACATAAATAATAAATAAATATATAAATAATAAATAAATATATAAATAAATAAATCATTTCTAATTTGATAATTTTAATTATACACTCAAAAGAAAAGCAGATAACTAAAATTAGAAATCTAATCAATATACATACCTTTTAGTTGAAGATTCTTTATAGCAGTTCTTTGAAAAAAGCAGGAATATTTCAAAAACTAAGCGATATGTAAAAGGAAAATATGACAGTGAAAACCTTATTTCGGTGCGAAAAAAGGAATTTTTAGGAGGCGACAGGTACTCAAAATATCCCAGCGATTTAGAAAGGATTTTGGGGGTCGTCGCCAACTTTCTACGAAATCCTCACGTAGAATCCAAACCCCATCCATCATTCAAAGTGCCAAAGGGTATCAAATAAGAAACGGAAGATCATTATCAACTATTTTCAAGATGTTAACTCCCAGGGGTTGCTTTCAGGTAAATAGCTTTACCTGTGGACACCTTGCCGTAAAAACTCGCCAATGTCTACCTTTTTCTTTTTTCCCACGACGTTAAAGCCTCATTTAGTTTCGGAATCCACTTTTTAGAAAGCGGGTTACTTTGAATTTGGAATAATTGTCTATATACAGACGTCTGCGGATCGACCAATAAGTTCTCTATAAACGGTGGTTCTGTTCGAATTTTTTTTTTTTTTTAGGATATGACTACAGTACTGTTGGACATAATGATGACAATAGATCATTGTTAACTGTTTATGAAGACTGTTAAATAGATGACTGTTAAATATTGAAAATAATATAATTAATTAATTTTTACACTCTATGGAAGAAATTACTGTTTTTGATTGATTACAAATCCAATTGTGGGAAGAGTTCATTAATTTTATATCAACAATTAATAAAGAGTTATGTAAAAGGTTATGTAAGTTTTAATGGGTACCAAACATACTATATAATAATATTTTGTATTCGTATTAGGGTATTTAAAATGTTTTAAAACTGCGCCAATTGGCATAACACAAGTTAGGGGCTATTACCAAAATTAAATAGGAATCATTGGCGACATGGCAATTTTTTACGTTTCTCTTAAGCGAATTATTACTATTTCGGCATTAATAATTTCTTTTTCATAGCTTATTTTCTTTAAAATTTCAATTAGTACCAATTACCAAAATTAATTAAGCATCATTGACTTTAAAAAGAGTATGGCTATTTCTCATATTTCTTCCAAACAAAATTGTAAAATTTTTTTCATTAATTTTTCTTTTTAGTACGCAGCTATTTTTTATTTTAAATAGTAGTACATATTACTGAAATTAATCAGAATTATCGTCAATAATAGTATGACGGTTTTTTACGGCTCCCCTAAGTGAATAAGTTCCTTTCTCCATTAATTTTGTTATTTAGTGCATAGTTTAATTTTTATTTCAATTATTACGTATTAACAATATTAATCAAGCATTATTGAAATAAAAAAAAATTAACAATTTTTTAATGTTCTATGCAAATTATCCCTTCCTCCATTAAATTTGCTTTTCTGTACAATCTTTTTTTTAAAAAATTCAAATTCTGTTAATTTTAAGTTATTTTTTATAGAAACACGTTTCAAAAGCATAGCACATGTTTTCAGATAATTTTAGGAATACTATTATGGTGATGTAGTCCGCTTTTGCTACCACGTTAAAATTGGATACCTGCAAGCGACGTCATCTTGATTAAATAGTGGCTTTTGCTTATGTGAGGATTCAGAGGCTTATTAGTAGCGACACACACACGCGTGACGTCAATTACAGGTAACCAATTAAATCTGATCCGATTATTGATTCAGCGTGATAATAATCCAAGCTTAACTGCTATAGCGTTTATCTGTCAAGCACAACCACGTGATGCGGCGCAACTATATGTGATTTAAATTACATGATTAAGCCTAAACACGCATTCTCTTTCTCGAGTTGTAAGAACCCGATCGTTCACTTAATGTACCTGGCATAAGGTATAAAAATAACTAAATATTTAAGAACATGCAGTAAGCTCCTTTTTTGACCAAAGCTACAAGCCAAAAAACACTTACGTTATCTTTAAAGTACTTAACAAAACAGAGTCGTCTGTAATCTAATTTGAAACAATGACTAATGCTTAGCCATAGAGAAAATGTCATTTTTTTTAAACGGCTCTACCGAACTAATTGAAAATTTCGAACGAATTTTAATAACGGGGAGCATGGTATAGGAAACATTTTGTTGATTAAATTTGTTTTTCAGTTATGTATTTTTAATTAAATGAGCGGTATTAGAAACTATGCAATTTTGAAAACCCGAATCCCCGGTAAAATGTTACTATACGAACAGATAATTTACCAAAAGAATAATTTAAATACTATATTTCGGTTTTATTAACCAGCATTGTTTATTTATTTATTTTTTATTCAATTTTTTATTTACCAAAATGATTATTATTATAAGAATTTATTTATAAATTAATATATTATAAATTCTTAAAAGAAGTTATAAGATTTTATTTAGTAACCAGAATTACTGTTTTTTTTTAGCAGAAATATCATTAACATATAGTACGGTAATTTTACGAGAATTTTTTTTTCCGTGTAGGAATTGGTTAATAAATTTTTAAATCAGCTTGAGTTGAAGTCACGTATGTTGAAAACTAATTAATCCTAGAATTAACGACAAAGTATGATTTTGTCACTGAACAAAATATGAATCTGTTTATAAAATTATTGCTAAAACAACATATATAATATCGAATGAGTAGGTGCGGAAGTAATATTGTATTTTTAATATCATAAATAGTCATAACTGAAAAGGAAAAAAATAATGTAAGAAAATCTGCATGAATTATTAAAGAAAACAAACAAACAATTATTTTCTTAGTGAAATTCAGAACTGGCTCAAATCTGAAAACTAAGAAATCAATTCAAATCAGGCATTTTATGTTGATTAATAGATCACAATAAGAAAATGACCACTCGATTTAGTATTTTTTCCACCACAACACGCGCTATCAGTTTGTTCTTATCACATTTTGGTCATGATAGAAAACTGTAAATCAAAAATGCAGTAAAACAAATTTAAACACTTTGATTGGTCATACGGAGTGAGAAAGTTTTATTTTTGATATCCTGAAGTTCAAAGTTTTCAGAAATACTTATTTTCCATACGAAGTTATTAATATTATTAAACTGTGGCTACTTTAAAGGTGGATAAACTCTTTTAAGAATAAAACTACTTTTGTTACGAAATATAAAGTAAGTATTTTTTATTTTAAAGCAATTTATTTATACATATATTCATACATTTATACTTTTTATATTAACTACTTATTTTTAACGTAGAATCTATATATATTTTTTCAAAATAACATGAAATATTGAACTTGATGTTACAATTATAGCTAAGATCTTAAAATTAAATCTTAGGTGCCATTTTCTTAAAATTTTTCAGTACTTTATTTTTGCTGTTTGAATCCAGCATAAAAATAAAATAATTGGTTTAATATTACCTTATTTTTAGTGCATAACAAAGATCATACATTTTTGTTCATACTAGTGTAAATTTCTCTATCGTGAAAATGTACATATTTTGGTGCATAAATAAACTTGTCTTCAACTTGTAGCATTTTCTTATCTTATGCGAATAAAAATATTGCGCGGAGAAAAAATTTCTGGTAAAATTACCGTACTGTATGGCAATGATATTTCTTCTAAAAGAATCGTAATTCTGTTTACAAATCTGTTAATAAAACCAAAATATGAAGTAATAAAGCCATTCGTTTGGTAATTTTTTCATTCATATAATAGCGGTTAACCAGAAATTCTGGTTTTCAAAACTGTAGTTCTTATTACCTCACAGAAATCGTAAAAAATTCAAAACTGAAAACTAAATTTAACTGAATAAATGGTTTATACGTGATACACTAAGATGTAACAAAATAACTGATTTTACTGAAGTGCCTAGGTAAAAATTAGTAAGGTTTTTAATGCTCCCATAGAGCCAGAAGCATGCTACATTTGACCAAATTCTGGTAATTTCGACCATACTTTTTTTTCTCAGTGTAACTATTTTATGAATAATAATGTAAATTTAATATTTTTGGTGTGTAAATAGGAAAAATTTGGTCCAAAATCCAAAAAGCTAATTTATTTTTTACATTTAAATTTTTATTAATAATTATGATTGTGTTGTGCAGAGCTTTTACAATGAACTTAACTATAGGGAATCAAATATTTGTTTCTTCGAATTTTTTTTATTTATCAGTTATTGTATCTCTTCCTCAATAAACCATTCTATTTTTAATTAAATCAGATACTCGTGTGCCTAGATCTGTCAAAAAATTTTGCTAAGTAAGAATCCGAGAATTCAAAAATTTCAGTGGCCAAATAAAAATGTGTCTGAAGACTGTTTTAAGAATATTGAGTGTTAATTTTAGGAGTAGCATAACTTTTTGACAGTTAACATTTTTAAATGTAAAAAAAAAAATTTATAAACATCAATTCCGGAAAAAAAATTCACAAAAAATAATAAGAAAAATAAAAACGCTTAAATACAAAATATTGATTAGATTCATGTTATTAAAATTGAGTCAATTTTGAAAATTATTATTTGATTCATTGTAATTTTAATAAAAAATTTTAACGACAAATTTTATATGTTTTAAACAGTGTTTAAATTTTGAAGTTTTTGAAGACAAAAAATTAGTTTTTGTGTATTTGCTTATTCCGAGTATTCAAGAAAAAATTCTTCCTCTCCAGCTAGATTTTTAAGTATGTTTTACAAATTAATATTATTTATACAGCTCATTCTGATTTATACAGAACATGAAGCTCTGTCCCCGTGAATTGGAATCATTACTGATTCATTACACTGGTTACATTGCCCAAAAGAGACTAGCAAGGGGATGCAAGTTAAACCATCCTGAAGCCGTTGCACTCATTTCAAGTCAGGTATATGTCATGTCTTATTGTTTCTTTTTTCTTTCTTTTTTTTCGATATGATACATTTTTAAACATCAACAATCATTGTGTATTCATTATCATAACTATCATTATGTTGATATGCCAAATTTTTAAGTTGATTAGATAAGTGCTTTTGATGTAAAACGCTCTGATTTCTATGTTAGTAGTGGAATGATTCTGCGTATTGTATTTTGTCTTGTGAAAATCAGAGTCAGTGAAAATTATAATGAATGAGCGAAAGGGGAACAGACCGAGGGAATTATGCACAAGAGGCTAAAATATAATAAACTGCTTAAAAAAATTCCAGATGCAAAATCTGCTTTAAATTACACTAGGGAACAATTTTTCCTTGTAGTGTTTCCCTATTACAAACTGTTTTTTTCGTGTAATTTTGAACAGACCCCTAGTCAGGTACGATGATATTTCCTTGCATGATTTCCAAAGAAATTTTAATCCTGATTATGTGCTCCCTTAGAAATTTGTCTCAACATTTATGCAATTCCCGGTTACATATAGCGATTTTAAACTGACGTCCCGAATGACATTTAAAAAAATTCTGTTGCTTTAGGAGCAAAACTAATTTCTCAAATTAAATGCCCACACTCGAAGTATTTGCATAAATGCAACAAAAAATTTGTTCCCAGTTATCTGCCAGTGTTATCCAGTTATTAACCATTCTTATCTACTTTATTCATAAAACTATTTCGAATATTTCTTCCAATGAAAATACTCTCTCTTTGTAGATAGCATTTTCCTTGATAAAAAAGAGAAATTATGCATTTCTAGCAGTGAGCAGAAAAAATGGCTAAACCTAAAGTATATGTGCTTTTTGTAAGCAGAGTCTACCTTTGAAAAATTTTCTAGGAAAAAGGCATTTTATCTAAACTATATTTCAATTCTTATCTATGTAAATAACACATTTCCCATTAGAATTTATATTTTCTATTCACAATCTGTGTTTAGGTATTTCTCATTAATCTTCAACTCTTTCTGCTCTTTTCTTCATAAAGACAGCCGATTTGTTGGTTAGCCGAGCACCCCGTACAGGTTGCCAGTCTGCCGCATATGTTATCGCCAGACTGTCCATTCTCGTTCACGCTTCTTTACTGAGATGCTTCTGACTATTATTTCGTACAAATATGGCAACGTTCACTTCTCGGAAAACATCTCTGCAAATGATAGCATGTCAAAAAAAAGAGTTATTGAATTTTACCTTTTTTAAAAAACTACAAAATAGTATGTCAGCAGAAAACAGATATTGCACGGTGAAAAAAAGTTTGGTAAAATTACCATACTGTATGGTAATGACATTTCGGGGAAAAAAATCTTAATTCCTGTAATAAAGCCGAAATATACGGTATTTAAAAGATTCATTTGAAAATTATTTCGTTTATATGGAAAAGGTTTGCCAGAAATTCTAAATTATAACTTTTATTACCACACATATAGTAAAAAATGCAAACTTGAAAAGTAAATTTAAACGATGAAATTGTTTTTATGCCATGATCTAAGGCATCATAATATTGTAAAATTACACATTTAATCAATCCACATTTACCACATTTACTCAATTTTATCACATTTTTATAAAATCATATTTTATTGCTAATTTCACCAAAATTATTATCAAAGAGATTCAGTAAAAATTACTGAACTTTTTAGTGTTCCTATAGAGTCAAAAATAGGGTTAATTTTTATCGTTGGCCATACTTTTTTCACAGTATGGGTTCTAATTTGTTTTAAAAAACAGCAAATAGTTTGTCAGAAGGAAAATTTTAAATTTCCCCTTTTTTTTAATAGTATGTAAATGAAAAAGAGATATTGAGTTCAACTTAGTTTAAAAAAAAACAACGCAAAAAGTAAATTAGGGAAAAGATATATTCTATTCTAAATGTTTTTTTAAAAAAAACATCATAGTAGTATTTCAGCGAAAAGGAGACATTAGATTCCATTTTGAGTGAAAGCATAGATTCTCTTTTGCTTAAAACAAATAAATAAATAAAAATACTATATTAGAAAAAAAGTGTCCAATGATTCCATGTACCTTTAAAGCAATACAAAATAGAATAGCAGCAAAATATAGATAATGAATTTTACTTGGTTTTAAAAAATCGAAGGAATAGTATCTGAGCAAAAAAGAGGTAAAGGATTCTATTTTTTTTTTCTTAAATAATATTATAGTATAAAAAAGAGATACGGGATCCACCTATGTTTTAAAAAGCAACAAATTAGTATATTGGTAAAAAAAGATACAGGAGAGAATAAAATAGACCCTTTTTTCAAAAAATTAATAAATTATATGAAAATATGTTAGTGATAATTCACAATGTATGTATACAATTTCATTGACTTAAAAATATGAGGGAAAAAAATACACATAAATATTACGCTATATTTTTTTAAAAATCTTTTTGGATTAGTTATTTATTTTGCGTAGTTGTACTATTATTGAATAAATTAATTTTTGTTCAATGGATTATATTTGTTATTTTAGCGTTTATATAAAAAACTTGAATCATTGGGTTTGATTTTGAAATTTTCTTTGTCAATCTATTAAAAAAAAGGGTTAAAAGCGTTTTTCTTATCCAGCAATAAAAAATAGTGCAAAGTAAATAAATTTAATGAGAAATAATCACATTTAAGAAAAAAAATCCTTTTCACTTTCTTTAGGTTGTTGATTCTAATGTCACTTGCCATTACGAGCAAGCTTGCTTGGTAAAACAAAGCGAGTTTAAGGCAGAGGGTACGTTTTTTATTTTTTAGTGGCGCCATCGATGGCCAAGAGTACGACTTTAGTCACACACACATCACAACTCTCGACCTCTTGGACATCGGCCCAACACCCTGCCAACCCGGATATTCCAGCCTCGGTTGTAAAACCGTATACTTGAAGCCGTGGTGGCTCAGGGGATAGAGCGTTTGCTTTCTAGTGAGGTGAACCAGGTTTGAATCACAGCGATGGCTGGTTGAGGTGAATTCCGCAACCGGCTAGCACCGTTCACGGGGCCGATGTAAAATATCCTCAGAGGTAGACAGATACTGGGTTAGAGTCCCTTTACAGCCTGGCTAACCACGGGAGGTTTTCGAGGTTTTCCTCTCCATGTGTCCATGTGTCTCCATGCCGCATGGTTAGTTTTTATCAAAAAAATCCTCCAAGAAGGTATATTTCTCCCAATGCTTGATGCAAGAGTTCCTTTCTCTTCTGGATTGTGTTAAAAATTACAAGGCTACGGAGAGTTGAACATTAGTAGTCGTAAATCTAAAATTGCATCGGTTGTTCAACTACATTGCTTTTAGGTCTATAAAATAAGATCAGTTTCGGCTGTTTTTACGGTAATAAAATCAAATCATATACGTGAAATGGAAAATAAAAATTATATTTTTAGTCTTAAAGCATAGTTTTTGAGAGACTATTGTATTATCGAATTGTAAAAATTAATAATCTTAATATTAAGTGAAAATAAATTTGCAAAATTAATATTTTTAGATACAGGAATTTGCGAGAAATGGTGAAACAGTATCAGAACTTATGAATAAAGGGCGTCAATTTTTAGGTAAGTTGTTTTAATAAAAAACTTGCCCAATCTTTAAATTAAATACTTTCCTCTATCAATATTTTTAATATAATTTTTCAGACAGAAAAATTTTAAAAAAATTACTAAAAATGATTCTTAAATTTCCAAATTTAAAACTTTTTACTTTGAAGCAATAATAACAATAAAATTATTTTTTTTCGCAAAAAACTTATTTTTTACACAAAGTAATATAATTAAAAATAAGTGTAAGTTATATTCGATTTCTGATTAGTATTATTTTAAATCCAAATCCAAAAAATTTTATCAAAAATTTCATTATCGAAAAATTACCATTCGTTAATAATCAGATATCAATAAGATTCACTTCTCTACAAAATAATGATTATAATAATGAAACTATATTTTACTTATTTACTTAAGTTACCACTGAATAATATTTTGTTCATACTTCATTATCTGAACTGTATCAAAAACTTTATAAAAAGAAAAATGAATTACTATTAATTTTTTCTCTTTTTAAATTCAACTATTTTCAAAACAGTTTAAATACTAAGATTTATTTATAAATATAAATCTTAGCGTGAAATAAATTGATAATTTATTGCATTTTACAGGCAGAAAACAGTTGATGGATGGAATTGGTGACATGATATCTGACATACAAGTTGAAGCCACTTTTCCAGATGGAACAAAAATGGTTAAAATAAAATTTAAATTTATTGTATGCATAGACTTTGTACCACAATAATTAATTCATAGAATATTTATTTGAAACATGTGTTTCAAATTTTATGTTTAAAACACAATGTGACACAATTTGATTATTTGTATGCTAAGTGCAGGGATAAATTGAACATAAAGCAGAAAATAAAATTGTGAATGGAGGATTAAAAAAAAAATCAGTTTTTTAATTAAATACATTCAATACCTTAAAATCTAATTTCGGAATATTTGAATAACAAGGAGTAGTTTAAAAATACACAAATTTTTTGTAACATGTTTGAATCTTAGTTAATTGAGAGTCTATGTTTATGGTGAACTTGGATATTTGATTGTTTCATCGACCTAATTTTACACCAAAATCAAATTAAGCATATAGCATTCTATAATGCAAAAAATGGACACTTTTTCAAGAAATAGTTCAAGAATTACGTCAACTAATGAGGTAAATGTGCTGCCATTTTTAGGCGTTAAACATTTAATCACTGTCACATATTTGATCTTTTATATTTTTAACATAAATTTAGATCATAACACGATTTATATTGAACAATAAGAATTTTCAATTTTTAAACATCCAAAAGTTTAAACACGAAAGCAAAATAATTCGAATAATCTTTTATTAAGTTTTAATGCAACCAGTTGCCATAATATTATTTTTCACGGTTGCAACGGATTTGCAGGATGCTAGTGGCAGTCAATTTGCGTATACTAATATTTCTTTTAAATATAACTATTCTCAAAAACTTTTAGTTGTGTCTGTTTAATAAGAAAATTGTTTGATATATTATACAATTTATTGCTTTTTTAAAATTGGTTTTGATAGGTAACTGTTTCCCATCCCATATGTAGAGAAAATGGAAATCTAGTTCAAGCATTATATGGTAGTTTCTTACCCGTGCCTGACATATGTGTCTTTCAAAGTGTAAGTTGACATTTTTAAAAGTTTTTAATTGAAATGTTACAACATATTTTTATTTTGAAAAAAAATTTTTTTGTACAAAATCAAGCATAAATATGGTTTTTAATGCAATTTTAGAAACTTTCTTAACTTGTTCATTATTTCTAATTTATGATAATGTTTTGTATAGAATGATATTTTATGGCATTTTTTTTCCTTTGGAGCAGCTGTTTTAACCTAATAAAAGACATTTTTTAGGAAAAAAATGAATCTGGGAAAGATATATTATTAAAAAGTCCCCCCGGAAGTTTTTATCCAAAAAAGACTGATGAAAAGATTCAAATCAATAAGAATAGAAGACGGATAGCATTGAAAGTTACAAGCGTCTGCGACAGACCAATTCAGGTATTGATCCTACGTAGTATTATTATATTTTTCCTTCTATTGCAGTTCTATAATGCAAATTAAAAGTATTTTTAAGCACTTAAGTGCAATAATATAGAATAAAAATCTAATTATAAGTAGCAATCATAGAAACCACTTAATTTATCAATGACAAAATAATGATGATTATAAAAATCTTGTAGCAAAATGCCTGTAAATTAATTAAGCATATTTTATTTTCTTTCTATGCGCTTTTCCAGCATAAGGAAAAACGACACTTTTCCGACTGCTAAATTATTATTTAAGCTATTATATGAATTTGGAACAAATTGATTAAATTAACAAATATCAGATATTTTTATGAATTTAGTGTACATGAGTCATGGTTTGGAATAAAATATGTTAATTGAATTTTTTTTTTTTNTTTTTTTTTTTTTTTTTTGGAAACCATCTTATTCCTATTTTATTTATCATTATATGTGATATCTGTTTTCTATATACCTGTAAAATACTTTTCGTTATCTTATTATTATATTTTTATAATATTTATAATTTATTTTATAACAGTCGTTGAATGCACCCGACCTAATTTTGAGTTTACCACTTTCAATGTTCTACTGTGTAGCCTTGTAATTTTGAACCCATTCCAAAAGGCAAGGGAACTTTTGAATTAAGTAATGGGAGAAATTCGCTTCCGTGGAGAATTTTTTGATTTGACTAACCTGTATTAGAGGAGAGGGCCGTTACACGGGGAAGAAAATCACGAAATCCTCCCATTTTTAGCTTGACGGGAAGGAGACTCTAACCTATAAACCTTAGAATATTTTACTTGAGAAATGCGGTCAGTGCGATGCGGGAGCGGAATTCGAGCCCCAGCGAGGGCTGGTTAGCCATCGCTGGGGCTCGAATCCCATTGGGAGGCGAGTGCTCTATCCCCTGAGCCACCACGACTATTCATTGTCTTATTTTGTTCTATTTTATGAACCTCGTTTAACAGCCGATTCAATTTTGGGTTCACGCCACTAATGTTTAACTCCGTAGCCTTGCAATTTTGAATCCAATCCGGAAGACAAGGGAACTCCTGGATCAAGTATTGGGAGAAATTTGCCTCCATGGAGGACTTTTTGATGGTACTAACCAGCATTTGCGTTACATGGAGGGGAAAACAATGAAAGTATCATATGGTTAGCCTGACGGGAAGAGGACTGAGGTTACCACTGAGGATATTTTATGCCAGTACTGTGGTCGGTGCGAGCCAGGTGCGGAATTCAAACCCGGTTCATTAGAAGGCGAACACTCTATCCCCTGAGCAATCACGGCTGACTTATTATTGTATGGAAAAAATTTCCCACGGCAATTATTATCTTATTAAAAAAAAATAAAGATATCTAATGATCGTTGGCTACACGTGGTTCTTAAAATACTTTAGATCGATGAGCACCAGTTTGTCTGAGCGACATTGCGTGCTATACTTACCAAATTGCCACAATCATTACGCAGGTCACAAAATTGTGGATCCTCAACTTCTCGGTTGTATCGAGAGTGTTTTTTTTTATAATTAATTAGTTAAAATTTTATAGTCCTTATTGCTTAAGCTGAGTATGAACTTCCAGTTCTAAAAGTACTCGCCACTTGTTTCAAGAAATAAAATTAAGAATTTTTAAAATTATAACAGGTGTAGTGTATTTTCTGGCGGCCAAAACCATAAAAGAAGGATGGAACTGAAAAACTGAAACATATTAATCGAAAAAAAAACAGAAAAAAACATTGATAATAGCATTATCCACACTTCATTAAAAGTAAATAATATAGGGAAATGTAAGTTTCCATATTTTTGACACATTAAACTGGTGTATCTGCCCTTTTTATACTAAAATGCCATTTTTCAATTGTAAAGCTATGCTCAAACAGGGAAGGGGTCCTATTTATGAAAGTTCTGACAAAATCAATTTTAATGAATTTCGAGTCTTCGCTTTCCAAAGTTTACTGAAGTTGCGTTTCTATCTAGCTCTCGTAAGCGATAACTCTCAACTCTAGGAATATATGGTATATTTCGTCTATGTAAAGAACTCCCCTGGTTCAGATAGTTTGATCAATGCTGCTTTCTGCTATAGAGAAAAAAATAAATACACCAAGTTACAACTTATTGCCTGATTATTTTATTAATTAATTAATTTATTTATTATTTATTTATTTTACATATTAAGTACGATGAAAAAAACTATAAATAATATAAAAACATGAACCCCCCTAAAAAATTATTAAAAAAAAGTAAATAAATAAAAAATTTTGAAGGAAAGAAAAAAAGAAGAGAAAATGAAGTTGTTAGCATACACATTAGCCTAATAAGTTATTTATTCTAAATATTATCGATTAAATTATTTACACATAAGAATACATATCATCTACATGTTCAACAACAATTCTAATAGTTTGGTTAAATCGTTGAAAATTTCTCCTTCTTAGATAACATGAAATATTTCTATCTTGAGTTAAACTTTAGTTTTAGTAAAATATATTTACAATAATTGGCGTAAATAGTGAGAAACTAGTGTAGAATTAAAACTTAACATGAAAAAAAAACGACCTACAATACCCTTAATGTCCGAATATGTTCACTATTTTTTTTCCTTATTTTTTTCCTTTGTGTACTTGCGCAACCAATTGCATAAAGGTATAAGTTTTAAATAAATAGCGTAAAAAGCATAATTTTAAATCCATGCGAATCTTAAAAAAGTGCGGATTAAATAAGTCACCAACTGGCTCCTCAGTCAGCCAATTTTGTAATATTCCTATCTAATCTATCATCGAAGCTCCCCTCACTGAAATTCGCTATTCTTGTTTCCATAGCAGACAACTTTATAGATTTTGTGGCGAGGGGAGCTTTTAACACAACACAACATTATAAAGGACTAATTGTACTCACACTAGCCCTAAATATTCAGTGGCCCACAGTGAGCTGGCTAGTGAAGATTTCGTGTCTTGATTTTAAGTGTATATTCAGTTAGGAACTCTATATTTTGTCAATTAATGAAAATCGTAATATTTATAAGTTAAGCATGTACCTGCGATTAGAAGATTTTATTGCGAAATAATTAACAAAATAGAATGTTAAGTAAAGTATACTTTTAAAAAGATTTAATATGAATTTTTAATGTATATTTTTAACTTATATTTTGAATGCAAATACTTACTTTTGCATAATTTTATTTTTCAGATTGGAAGTCATTATCACTTTATTGAGACAAACAAGAACCTTATATTCGACAGAGAAAAATCCTACGGAATGAGATTGGTAATTTAAAATTCTTAATTTGAACTTCATTTCTCCAAATAATCATAATTTGCAATAACACTAACATACAACAGAAAATATTGCTGTCAGGTCAGAAGAGCAATCTGTTGCCGGAATTCGTAGCTAGTTTTAAATTTTGCGAGAAAAATTTTCTGGTTTCTTAAGAAGAATGCAGCAATCAGAATGTAAAGTGCGCAAAATAAAAGACGGTTCTGAATAACTTTCGATCTAATGATCGGATTTTCACGAGCTAAGACTCAATCGTAATGGTTTGATAGGTGACCTCATCTATGCTAATTAATAAGTGCAGACGATATTCTAAGTTACGAAATCAGACACAAAAACGTACTTTCTCTGAATTAACTCTTTTTTTAACAACGGATTCAGATTTCTGACCGCAAAAACATAGGAGGTAGCAGCTATCTGAAAATGTGGTCCCAATAGTTCGGTCAAGAGAGAGATCCACATAATTTTAAATGGCAAAATACAAAATTTGAGCGAAATCGTTTGAATAATTCCTGATAAATCGAATTTTTAATATACGAGTTTTTCAAAATTTGATTTCGCAGGAATTATTCGTCCGATTTTGCAAAAATTTTGTATTTCGCCTTTTAAAATTATGCACTTTAAAATTACTCTAAAACTACATGATGTAAAAAATTGTACACCTTACAATTCAAAAATGCTTTTCGAATGTTATTAAATAAAATAATAAAAATTATAAATATTTATTAATAACTATTTTTTGCATGGAATTATCTTTATACAACTGAATTTTATAATTATTTTATTTTTCAATTCGCTTCTATAGATAAAGATAAGGACGTGAAAAATCAAATTAACCTGAATTTTGGACCTCCCTATTGGGGCCATATTACCCAAATTGCGGCTATCTCCTATATTTTGGGAGTCGGAAATCCGAATCAGTCTGAAAAAAGGTATGTTTATTCAGAGAAAGAACGTTTGTGTGTATCTGATTTCGTAATTTAAAATACATTTGAGGTCACCCCATCGAACGATTAAGATTGAGTCATAGAACGTGAAGATGCGATCATTAGATTAAAAGTTATTCGGGATGGTCCGTTTTTTATTTTCCTCTCTGTACATTTATATGTCCTTCCGTTTTATTTTAATTAAATTGTAATACCATCTGTTTTGTTTTGGACACCCCGTTCAATGAAGAATTCGTTTTTAAATATTAAAATAAATCCCACATGAAGCCATCAATAAAAATAATTGACAAGTATCTATCTTGTATCTATATACCAACACAAAGCTATTTATAAATCTATTGTATACATAGCTGTCCATACATATACCGGCAGAAAAGTATCTTAATTTTTTATTGACATGAAAGTAAAAATTTGCATTATCGTCAATTCGTTTTAAAATTGAATTTTGAAACTTCAATACAACACGAATTGGAGTATCCTGTGCACATGAAATTAATTCTACAAATGTTGGTATACAAATGTTGATTGCCAAGACTATCGACTTAAAATCGTAGCTAGCTACCAATAATAATTTAGTAAAATTTAACTACCATTTTCTCTCTCTCTCTCTCTCTTTTTCTTCTTAAATCTAAAGTTTGAATTTTTTTTTGGCTGTTGGATTCTAAAAATTGAATCTGGTGTTAGGAAATTCAAAGTTTTAGTTGACGCTTACCGCCATCATTTACTAAGTACTTATCACAAATAAAATCAAATTTAAATATACTTATTATTACTCAAGTAAGTTAAATTAATATAATTTGAGAATTGTTGTTAACGAAAATTGCTGATTAAATAAATTACACATAAATGATTTGTTGGTATCGAGCATTCTATGGAAAACATACGAATGGACGTTTATTATTTACACAAAAACACAGTCTTTTCAGTCATTCGTAAACAAATTATCCTAAAAGTCTTTCAAAATTTTTTCGAATTTCCTGTCCTAAGTGAAAAAAATAATTTAATTAACCTTTAGCATTTATTAGTTTAAAAAAAATGACTAAAAATAGAATTTTTTTAAATTTTCTAATTATTAATTAGATTTTCTAATTATTAGCTAGAATTAAATTTTTTTTTTAAGTTTTTTTTTTTAGAATTTAAACGTTAACATAAATTTTTTTTAAATTTTTGTTTTAGGACATTCCAGCAGGATTTTCAATAAGATTTGAACCAGGGGAAACAAAAACTATCACTTTAGTGGAAATAGGAGGAGCTAAGTATAAGTTCTCTTTTTTGAATTAATAACTGATTTTTTTTTAATATTTGACACAATGGAACTTATTTTTAACACGTTTTACTTTTATAGAATCATTACTGGAGGCAATAGTCTTTGCAATGGTCCCATGAAGGAATGCTCTTTACCAAACATTATGCAGCATGTAATTAGTCGTGGTTTTGGACACAAAGTTCAAGTAAATAGTGATTATCACATTCATATTTAATTGGAAATTAAGCAAATAAACAGATAAAGTTAATTGTTTTCCGTTGTTGATCATATTTACCGGTAATGTTGGGTACTATAAGTATTTATTATTGGCAACTGTAAAAAAAAATCCCTATTTTATAAAATTTTATTTAAAATTATATATTATTGCTATCCATATTACTAATACCAGAATTTATCCTACTGATATCTATATTTTTAGGACATTATTTTACCCGTGGAACCTTGTCAAATTACAAGATATTCTTATTTGAGTAATTATGGTCCAACGACTGGAGATAAGGTAAGTTTTAAGGTTTTAAGTTGAAATAGTTTGTATCAATTAAATTAATTTCAATGATTTTTAGTCTGCAGAAAAAATTATTGTGTAATGTATTGAATTGAAGTTTGACTATAGCGGGAACTTTTCAAAGTCATTCTCGTTCGGATTAAGTGAGAAATCGTGAAAATTCGTCAAATGTAGAAGCTCGTAAATATATTTAAGTCAATAAAACATGTTCTGCTGCTGCCATCTAATAAACAATATATGAACTAAAAATATATTCATTGGAGAAATGTTCACTTTTAACCTAACATGCATGAAAATATGCATACAATTTATAAATATCAAAAAAAGTTTGTATAAATTTATTAAAAAATATCTTAGTTTTATAAGGTATTTTTCATTTAATAAGGTATTCTTTCAATAAGTTAATCTTCATTGACTAAATAAATAAAAAATAAAAATTTTCAGAAAATAGTGCTATATACTTACCATAGATGGCAGCATTAAAGCACTGAAAACTCTTAAAAAATTCTAAGTATTTTTTTTAAAAAATTTTATGTATGATGAAATACATTTAAAATTTTAAAAAATAAAATATTTTGAAATTTTTAAGTAAAATCTAAATTTAAAAAAAGAGTTACATCTTTTTTTCTTTAATAAGTTTTGAGAAATCCGATAATCATGGAGCCAATTAGAGGTTAAGTACGCTACTCCTACTTACCTTTCAATCTTACGTTTTTGTCGTAGATCATTGAAAACATGTAATCGTCGAAATTTTTTAGTATAATCAGTAAAATCTACAATCAACGTATTGCGTCTAGGTTTTGAGAGGTTACTTCTCAAAGATCATTTTTAATAAATGTATTAGATTTTATTATTTCAAAAAGTTAATTGGTTTAAATTTGATTTCATTTTTTCTATAGGTTCGATTAGGAGACATGAGTCTTATTGTAGAGATTGAAAGAGATTTTACCGTCTATGGAGATGAATGTAAATTTGGTGGAGGAAAGGTAACCATATTGTCTGTGCTATAATTACAAGTAAAAAAATTGAAATTTTTTTTCTTCTTTCATTTTCTTTTATCACATGAGTTGACATTTTCTTGACAATTTCGAAATAAATTAAGTTGTATTGGTGATATTGACTTAAAATGGCGAGCATATAGCAACATGCAGTAAAATAGTTGTATACTAATACCCGGTCTAATAAATTGTGTTAAGTGAATGCGTTTTAAAAAGGTATATCCTCCTTAAAGAGTTGAATTCAGCATATAATAATAATAATAATAATAATAATAATAATATTAATAATAAAGGCAAAATTTAAAGAAATATAACTACAAAATAAAGGCATTTTTATTGTTTTTCTGGATCTGAAATTTGCAAAGTAGAAATATTAATTTATAATGGTAGTATGGTAACACAAATAAGCTCTTGAAATTTTGTTGTTGTCTTTTTATGAAGATTTTTTGACTTATTGTTTTTTTAGTTCAGTGGAAATAAAATGAATATAAATACTTTTGGTAATAACTATATTTAGTTAATCAAAAGTAAAAAAATAAAGAATACCGTAATAAAAATAAATAAGAAAATTTATTTAATAAATACTTTTTGTAATAATTATATTTAGTTAATCAAAAGTAAAAAAATAAAGAATACCGTAATAAAAATAAATAAGAAAATTTTTTGTGCAAATCTGTAAGAAAATAAAGAAAGAGTTAGCGTTTTTCCAATTGTCTAGGAGAAATTTACTTCATTCTTTCTCGTTATTAGGCCCTAGAGAAGAAAGAATGAGTAACAAATAAAGCACAAAAAGCAGTGCTTCTACGCTTATAACGCATTAAAAGGTAAAACTGATAACTATATCACTGCCTTCATTTTCAAATATTCAAAATTCTAAGAGTATTGATAGTTAGAGTAGCGTTAAACACTCTGTAAAAAAATTCTCCAAAATTCAATTTCTTAATAACTTGTCTTGAAACATTATCTTAAAGCATTAGGAGATATCATGTCATATTTTATATCTGTGGGAATTATCATTTTAAATTTCCTTTTTATTAAATTTTCACTATGATTGACTTTTTTTAGGTACTTCGAGAAGGAATGGGCCAAGCATCATTGAGAAGTAGTTATGAAGTGTTAGACACTGTCATAACGAATTGCATAATTATAGATGCTATTCAAGGGATAGTCAAAGCCGATGTTGGGATTAAGGTAATTTAAGGTTGCTTCTTGTTTATTGGCAATCAACAGTAAATTGCAAGTTAAACTATTACATGGTTCATACTCATCTGGAAAAAATTAAAAAGTGGTAGTAATATTAATATAAATTTTTTATTGTATTTTGTTGTTTGTAGCAAACCAGAATATTTTATTTTCTCTAAGTAAATATATCTAGTTCTAAAGGTAGCAGATATGAATTTTTATTTTGATAGTGAAAACTAATATTAAGAAATTTATAGCTTTTTTATGGCAAAATTCATGCCAATTATTAATTTCTTCCTGTTGCGCACGAAACCTAGGTCATCAACATAAAAGGATGTTTCAAGCATATGTGTTTGGAACGTTTGTGTCAATTTCTTGTTTTGCAATGATCGTGATATTGATGCATAAAAATTAATCTTGCATCTAAACCACCAATCAGAATTAAGTTAAACTGGCCTTAAAATGATTGTAAAAATGTACTTAATAGAAAAAACAAACAAACTGATATTTGATAATTTTGAGCGAAACAAAACAAACAGTTTATTCTGATTGCGTTGCTTAAAATAATGCGATTAATGCGTTGCTTAAAATAATGCAATTGATGCGTTGCTTAAAATAACAATTATTTTTTGTTGGCGCATATAAAATTTGTTTAAAAAAGAGTAGGTTGAATTGATATAAAGGCACTTTTTCTCTTAATGTTAATTTACTTAAAATTTGGAATATAATTTCAAGAAAATTTGTGTCAATGATTTGGGAAAACTTAGGGCACTTCTTCCAAGAAGCTCCTTTCTTGCTGTATATACAGGATGTTCTGTAAGAACCAACCTTAATATGTATTTTTATAATCCCTTTAAAAAAAGAAAACAAAAACGTATATTTAAGGGGTCACAAATTAATATTTAATCTAAAATAAAAATAAAAATACTATCAAAATTCAATACGAGTTCAATAAACATAACAAACAAACAGATTTATTCAAACAGATTTGTTCAAAACAGATTTATTGATACAGAATGCCTTTCACTATTATGATTTCACAGATTTCGATGGTGTTTTTTGTTTATTCCTCTTTTTAATATTATTTTGAATTCCCTTCAATGTGTATGGTGATTTGTATTTGTTTAGGATTCTATAAATAAATATTAAGGGTGGTCCTTAGAGAACACCAAGTCATTAGAATTTATCTCCAAGAATAAATAGTCCTCTATAGTTTAGTTGTTCCTTTTTGACAAGCATTAAAATTATTTCTCCATTAATTTTCTATTCATGCTAATTGCATCTGCTTGAGGAAAATTAGAAGTAGCAAGACAAGCATTGTTGAAAATTGTGAATAATGCAAGAATTGTTAAAGTTGGGAATAATAATGAAATCATTGCTAAGCAATCCGTAGAAAACTGTTGTAATACGAGCATTGGTGAAATCAAAATTGTAATAATGTAAGTTTGTATTGTAAAAAATTGGAAGGATTATTTCAAGTATTATTGAAATATGCGAGTAATAATGCAAGTATTATTGAAATATGCGTGTAATAACGCAAATATTGATGAAAATTGCTGTCATATCCTTCCATGTATGTGGGATGCGTTTGAATAATAAATAATAACTGACTTTTTATTGTTGTTAGGATTGTAACCTTGTTACTTTTTTAGTTAAAGAACTTGATAAAAGTATTATATATTCGTAATATACATCACAAAAAGCTTTAATATACCAATATAAAATAAGTCCGACGAATTTTTAATTCGATTCATATTGCAACATTGCAAAATTTTTTCAATTCAACTAGTAACATTGAAAGTTGTAATTAATAGTTTAAGTATTGCGGAAAATTGTAAGTAATATTTCAAGACTTGCTGAAAATCGTAATTTTCAATGCAAGTATTGTTCAAAACTGTAAGCAATAATGCAATTATTGTTAAAAATTATAAGAAATAATGTATATGAATTGGAAGCAACAAGACAAGCATTGTGGAAAATTGTAAATAATTATGCAATAATCGCTAAAATTACAAATAACACTGAAAGCATCGCATAAAACTGTTATAATACATGTATTGTTGAAATCAAAACTTCAATAATGCTATGTATAGTTAAAAATTGGAAGTATAAGTGCAAATATTATTGAAATATTCATGTAATAATGTAAGTATTGTTGAAAATTGTGGTTATGTCCTTCTATGTGTGTGGGACGTGTTAAAATAATAAATGATAAATGCCTTTCATTGTTGTCAGGATTGTAACCTTATATTTTTAAATTAAAAAACATGATAAAAGCGTTATATATGCATAATATACGTCATAAAGAAGCTTTTTTAATAACATAAAGTAAATTCGCACAGTTGTTAACGCGTTCCAAATAGTAACAGTGCTAAATGTTTCAAGTTTTCAATAAATTTTTCTTTCTTTCTTTTTTTGAAGTTAGTTTCTGACTGTATTCTTAAGAAACTACAGGAATTGTTCCCTAATTTTAATACCGCGACTATTTTCTCAATTTTTGAATAAAACTTATATTTCATTTATTGATCAGAAATGAATCCATTTCAGGAGGGCTTGATCAGAGGCATTGGAAAAGCAGGAAATCCCGATATCATGGATGGAGTTCATGCAAACATGGTGGTAGGGGTATCAACGGAGGTAATTGCAGGAGAAGGTTCAATCCTGACCGCTGGAGCAATTGACTCCCACGTTCATTTCATTTGTCCGCAACTAGTTGAGCATGCTATTGCATCTGGTATTACTACTCTAGTTGGAGGTGGAACAGGACCAGCTACTGGGACTCGTGCTACAACATGTAGTCCCGGGCCATATCACATAAGGTATGCAAGCTTTTTTTTTACTATAAATTAAAATAATTGTTAACTTTTTAAGCTTTTATATTTCATATTTGTTTAAAAGTCTTATGCAACAATAAACTAGGGGCAGTCTCTTACCTGCTTTCAAAAGTATTTAGTACTTGATCTGCCATTAAAACTGACGAGTGATTGTTCGGTCACTTATCTTTACTTGTCCTTGAAAACTGGCAGTTGACAGTTTAGACTTCAATTAAACCTGAAAATTAATTAGTGCTAATTTAATCCATTATCCAATCTATCCTAAAGATTGGCAGATAAACTGTTCAATCCTATATAACACATCACACAAACTTTTGGAAATATTTAAGAACTGATATAGACGAGTCAACAACAACAACAATCCTTGATCTATGGTAACTTATTGCTCAATCCCCGATCTTTTCTAAATACTAACAACTAACTTGTTATTCAGCCTTTATCTGTTCTAGAAATGAACAGATAACTAACTGTTCAATCCCCGATCTGTTCTAAATATTGACAGGTAGCTGACTGTCATGATTCAAAGATACAATCATATATTCAGGACTATAGTTTATCTCTGTAGCTAATGTTGGCGCACAGGTCAGTCGAATATTACACCATGAGTTAATACAATTTATTATAAAGAATCGGGAATATATGAGTGGAAGAATAAAATTATTAAAATTTCTCATTCCTTATATGATATCAATGCTTTTTGAAATAGTGGGTAGAAAATTTCAAGCTTTTTTTAAAAAGAAATTTTATAAATTTTTGAATTCCGAGAAATTTATATGCAGCTTCATTCATTGCAAAAATATTTCTATTGTATGAGGAAAACTATTGCTTTATATTCCAAACTATTGCCTTATATACAGATAACTTTTGTCAAACTTCTTTTGGTAGTTTGGTAACTATAGATGGATGTTAGGTACATCAGTTGCTTATTTTAATCCATGCAGGGATATTGGAAAACAAAAAAGATCGATCACAGAAGGGAAAAAATAATTTTCCTTCGATATATGGAGTTACTAATAAAAAGAGTATTAAAAACGTGACAAAAAATTTATATTTTTAGAAGGTAAGTAATAAATTACATAAAAATTATAAAATAAATATTTTTGTAACTTGTTTTATATGTTGCTAAGGAATAATTTACATACAATGTTAAAATAAATTATACTGTTGATGCAGTTATAAATATTAAAATGGCAAATATTATATTATAATTTTTTATACTTATACACTAGTAAGATTTTGTATTCATTGATTTCAAATTCATTCAAAGAACGTAGTTAAAATAATTTTGTTTGCGTTTCAGATTTATGATAGAAGCAACTGACGAATTTCCAATGAATTTCGGATTTACGGGTATGTTAAATTTTCTCAATTTTAATACTTTCGTAGATGGATTCTGAGTTTAAAATATTTAGAGATGACTGTTTTTGAATGAATTGACTGTTTTTTATTTTCTCAGAAAACATTTTATCGACATTTGAAACATTTTAGACTTTTTCTCATTTGTTTTGTTCTTTTTTTATGGTGCGCGAAAACCTTGGGTTAAAATACGATATTTTTTTTAAAGTTTTGAATATGCGACTTTGAAAAATGAAACTGGTGAAAAAAGTGCCAAAATCTGCTCTATGATAGGAATAATATTAACAGTAAAAAGAATTTTGAAATCTGCAATAACCGAAGAATGAGTTTGTGTGCTCCTGTCCGTCTGCTTGACCTTCTTATAACTTCAGAATTATTTGTACTGGAGTCATGACGTAATATAGCTGGTTCGGGGATTTTTTTGTTGTTGAAGATTTTGACCCTCAATCCTACTGATCGTTTATATAAATTTAATTAGTCCATTCAGAAAGGGTGTGATTAAAGGGAATTTTCCGTAATGGAATAGCATTGTTGTAACTGAAACTATTTAGATATATAATTCTTCTATTTTATTTTCCCTTTTCAACTATTTAAAAGATAACGTCAGTAATGTATGCCAGCTTATAGCTCTATTTAATAAAAAATGAGTTTCAATAGGAGTTTATGGCATATTCTTATGAATTATTTTGACTTATTTTTGATTCATTATGGCAGGTAAGCCCAAGTAAAATTAACGTGTAAGGCATGCTCCTCGACGTCAAAAATTAGTGTATAACTCATAAAACATTTATTTATTTTGATTACAGCTACGTTTTTGAAGCGCGTTTCGATTAATCTAAATAACGTAAAGTGAACGGTGATTAAAATAAAACAGAATAGCTAAGTGGATACTAAAGTGCCATTTCACTGGGAAAATTATTAAGTGCTCTATGCGAGCAATAACCACATTTTCGGTACTTGATTAGCAAAGATTTTAACTTTGTTCGATTACAGTTAATCTTCTTTCGATGAGTTGAACTTATGAAAACGTGTTTTTTTCAAATTGATAATGTAAAGTCATTGTGAAGGGAAGCAAATAATATAGAAATAGTTTTAATTTTTCAATTGTGTCGCTATGTGTCTCAATATTTGGAAAGAGTGTGTAGTACTGATGATACTGAATCATTGATTAGTTACTATTGTTATAACTATTATAATTGTTACGAAGAACGGTAAGTCAGTTAGTTTGAAAAGTTATGTCCTTTTCTTCCTGGGTATTCTTTAAAAATTGATCTGAAATATTTTTCATAGGGAAAGGAAATACTTCTGATGAGAAAGATTTATCAAATGGTCTTGTTGAGCAAATTGAATCTGGAGCAATCGGGTAATGGAAGGTCTATTTTATCATAGTATGCATATAAATTCTACTTTAATGCAGATAATTTTAGGATTTTAAAAAATTATATTTTTTACGGATTTAAATTTTTTAATGTGGATATCCAAAGCATCCCACTTGGAGCATCCAAAATATAGTTTTTAAAATTCTAACACAATTAAAATTAATTCTTACATCATTAATTTAAAAAAAAACGAAGTAGTAAAAAAATAATCCAAATGAAGATAGGATTGTGCTACGTCAGAATAAAGTAAAACAATGTGAACGAAGCACAATTTATTCGAAATAAGTATATTGTAGTTTTGGTTCGATAAACAAGAACTTTCTTCAGTGTCTACACACAAAATGACAGTAGAAAAGTGACGGGACAAACATGTACACATTGTTTAAACTAGTAGGGGAAGATAAAGAAGATTGAAATAAAATAAAAAAGAGCGACAAAAAACAGGTTGTGAAGGAGTTCTTGCGGGAACAACAGGGAACAAAATGTAGAGACTAAATTAGAATAGATTTCCAATTATTGATAAAGAATGGGGTGCTAGATAGATCATTAATTAAATTATTAGAAGTTTACAAAATATGGAATGATTCCCAGAAGTTAAGAATTAGTTCTAATAGTAGTTTCGTTAAAGTAGACCTTCTTCATCTTAAAGCTATAGCTGTTGTCTGTGGATTTCTTTTTAATATTATTGATTCCATTTATTGAAATTAATCACGGAATCTAACTGACTCTCTAATTGGAATTTTAACAATTTGGTTGTTTTACCCTATTACCTGAAAATCAGTTCCCAAATTGCTAATATTTTGAATAAATTCGAGTTTTAATCATTTTCTCCACAGTAAACAAACTTAATTTCTCCGACCTATTGCTGTTAGCAATAACTGGGGAATTTATGAAATATTTTATCAGTCTGAACAAACTAAGTTCTACTATTCAGTTATCAGTACAAACTAAGAGGTTTGCCTAAATTTTAACTTAAAGTAGATTAAATCCATGTCCATAATCAAGATATTAAAGATATTCCATCATCCTGCTTAGTTAGAATTCAAATCATTGATTTGAGTTTTCTTTTGCTAAAATCACTTAACACTGCGTTTCATCTAACGTTCTTGCTTTTTGGGTATCATTCCATGTTTTGAAAAACTTAACGATCTTCTATTTAACTCATCTTTTTCCGATTTTCGGAAATATAATTTATTTTCTAGTTAATCTATTTCCTATATCTTACACCCTGTAGGTTTCTGGCAAACGCCTTCACAACTGTTTTTTTTTGTTTCCCTTCTTTTATGTTCTTGTTTAAGCTTCTTCCCCTTTCCCAAATGGTTAAACCACTTTGTACACGTTTGATTCATAATTTTTTTACGGAGAATTTGTGTTTAGATACTGAAGATGAACCTTGTTTATGGAATATAATTTAGAGCATGCCCATTTCTGTACTTTTATTTGTACTTTATTCACGTAGCAAAAGCATGCTTGAAATCTATAATTGTTCCAAATCCATTATGCATGTATTATACGTGCATGTAATGGTGTGATTTGTGAGAGTATTTGTGAGATGGCTAAATTGTGAGAGTATACTGAAATCCAGTTTATTAAAATGTTTTGCAGTTTTTTTTTTATTTTGAAAAATAATGAGTTATAGGATAAACATGTTATAAAACCTGAAACTTAGGAATTTTTCACTTATTTTTCAAGTGAAGAAGATCGTAAAGTGGCGATGTGAGTTTTCACCTCCTTATAGTACTTTTACCACAGAGTTGCTAAAAACTAGAAATTGACACGAATGTCAGTGTTGTCTGCAACTTCGAAAAGCATGTCTACATGCTTATGTTTTTAAATGCATTTATTTGCTTCTCATGTCTGGTTTTATATAACTGGCAGAGTCTTGATTATATTTAAATAATAATCAGTGTTATAATTAATTGCTTTGGTGCTGTTTGATTTACATGCCATATATCTTTTAAAATTTTGAGTGTTGCTTACTCTAAAAGATGGAGGTTAATTGATAACTCACAGTTTTTGCCACACCGTTAAGCTGTGCAAAGTGGTTATGCAGAGCCACAATACAAAATAATCCTAACCTAAGGAGATTAAAATAAGTACTATTACAAAATCAAAATTTTTGAGTGATCACTTTAGTTGAGCATTGGTTGCGATAAAAAAATAAAGAACTGGGCAGCCCACTTAACATCCAGCTACAACAAATAATTTGTTATTGACACATTGTTAATAAATAATTATTAGTTACATTATTGAATCAAGATATTGGTTAAAATTATTTAGCAAGAATAAGATTTCTCTATGAATCTTTGGTGATGATTAAATATGTTTTTTTATTAAATGCGATTATTCTATTTATACGTATGCACTATTTGTTCATTTTTTTTATCGATGCAAGTGATAATGAAATGTAAATAAAAATCATTTTTAAAGGTAGTCTAATTGCACCATATCAGGTTGCTACAAAATTATGGTTCGAGTTGAATAGTTTCTGGCATAGAATTTTTTTAAAGTTTAGATGTTCTTTTTAAATGCTATCTTACGAAAATGGTTCTTCTTTCAAAATAATTACACTAAATGTAATGCTAATTTTACAGTTTGAAGCTTCACGAAGATTGGGGAACAACTCCTGCAGCCATTGATTGCAGTTTAAGCGTTGCCGATTCCTTAGATGTTCAGGTAAATTAATTTTTAAGCATCGGAAAACCTTTTTCTGGAGGAATATAAACGGCTAAAACATGAGTGGATATCGAAAATTTATTATGCAAGTAACTGTATCTTTTGAGGAGATTTTTAATGCAAATTATTAGTAGTTTGATAATTTAGATAAAAAGTTAAATTTCAGCGCAGGAGATCTTCATAACTCAATAACATCTACAAGATCATAACCGAATACTCAATAATATCTAAAATCAAGGTATAATAATAATAATACAATGATCAAATACTCTTTACACTGAAAAAAAATTGTTGTATCTTAATATTAAAAATAGCGTCAACTTCTTTACTTCAAAAGTGGTGTAGCATCATAAATAATTCATTAATCTTTAGAGTGGTAAAACACTACATACCTTTTTCTTTACTACTTGTGTATGGTTGTAAATTAGTTGCCCCTACTTATGGTGCTTGACAATACTAAAATATTTGGTCACAATAAGATACAGATAAGAGCCAGTATATTTATTTTTCGAATACAATTTAAAGTAAGAAGAATTAATTTTTAAAATAAAATTAGTTTGTGAATCAAACATATAGCGCAGAGAAAATACCAAGACAAATTCAAATTAGTCCTAACAGAACAGAAGTGAATATAGAAATTAAATATTATTTAATTATTTAAATTACTGGCAAATATTTAAAAATTAAGATATGATTAAAACATATAGAAATTCTTCTACCGATGAGCTTTTGTATAGTAATGTGCAAAACAATAACAAATGCACGCCATTTCGTACTTGATTGCAAAACATTCTATTATATCTAAAATAGGTCAAAATTGGTTTTCTCGGAAGCTAAAATTATTCATAAGTAAAATGAACGCGCGTGTGTTTGGTCTAAGATTTTCAATTATTGGTTTAGATTTAACTATTCGAATTAAAATGAATATGAACGCTCCATCTGAAGTTAACTTTAAATACAGTTTTCCATCACATAATTTTTTGGGTTGCTCAACATCAGATTCAAAGAGATATTAGATGTACATTACAGCTCAATAATACCTACAAACCTAAATTATTAAAAAAAGAACAGTTTTATGATAATTTCACCACTACAAATAACTCATTTTGTCTTGCTTTTGTAGATTTTAATCCATACAGATACCTTAAATGAGTCTGCGTGTGTAGAAGAAACCATCGAGGCCTTTAAGGGTAGAACAATTCATTCCTATCATACAGAAGGTGCGGGTGGTGGTCACGCACCAGACATCATTCGAGTATGCAGTGAGCCAAATGTAATTCCATCATCAACAAACCCAACCAGACCTTTTACAAAGAACACAATTGACGAACATCTTGACATGCTTCTTGTTTGTCACCATCTAGACAAGTAAGGACTGCACAGTAAAAAAATTTTTAGAATCAAATTAGGGTAAAAAGTACCGGCACCGTAAAATCCATTTTTACCGGAACATGTTACAGAGGAAAAAAATCTGATGAACCGTAATTTTTACAATAATAATTACTGTATCACTCTAATTAAATAAATACTGCTGTAAAAACTACACTATAATATTTTACGGTAAAAGTACAATTTACGATAAAATAGATATTACGGGTGATGCACTCAAAGTGCCAGTACTTTACATTGTAACTTAATCCAGAAGTAATTTGATTTGAACTTTAACTGTTTTCAAGAGATGTGTGTGATATTGTCAAAGCTCTTTATACATATACACTTTTTTATTTATACATATTCTTTATATATACTCACAAATCACAGTAAGCATGAGTTTAGGACATTTCAACATAGTATAGGCAGCAGAAGTATTAAAATTATTTCCATCTCTGTCGTGAAATAAGATGGTAAACTCATTCCCAATGCTCCATATACGTGCTGTACAACTTCGTCACGAACTTTTAGAACCACAACTTGAGTATCGTATAATATACTCATACTATTGCTTGAAAAAGGCAATCTCCGTCACCAATAATTGAATCGATGTGGCAGTATCCGGCACCATAACATAGTTTAAGTCTAAAACTTCTACAACCATTTTGGAAAGGATGAAAAATAAATCTAAATAATTACTCCGTAATTAAGTGTTTATTTCTATAAAAAATCAAAATTATTCTAAATAAATGCTTAACGTACTATTCAACATATGAAGAAGGAGGATTCAGGGTGCCATTTTATGTTGTGATGATGGTATAACAGGTGAGGTTGGAGATTATTGTATTGGTATAGTGGGCCAGTTGAAGATAGTGACGAAAACAGAAGATGATGAAAATAATACTTGAACCGGATCAGAATCAATAAAAAGCTTTTATTTCATATATTTGCAGAGCTCGAGATACCAAATTTAAATATTATCCATAAGAATTTCAGTTGAATCAATTTTGCATAATAATATTAATAAGGACAGGCCATGGGAGACACATCACCCACGACCTGCCTAAGCAAAAGTCAAATTAAAAAGTACATGTAATTTGTTCCCAACGGACACAGAAGCATGGGTAGGAGATCCAAAATTGGAGAATTTAAAATAATACCTTGGCGATCACGAGTCGCCAACAAATTTATGAGAATTATTACAACCATGCAACTAAAACATTTTTGCTGTTAGAAATTTAGAATAAAAAGTTATTAATAGATTTTTGTTTTCGATTAGAGGCGACAGTGAATTAATAAGTCTGCATTAGTTATGAAATAAAAAGTATCCGTTACATTGATCTGAAAGAGAAGAATTTTATGTTCGTCTCAAAAAATTAAGTCTTTGATTTATTTTAAAAGTAATTCTATTAATAAAAATCACCTTAAGTAATCAAAGATATTTTAAAAGATAGGAAATAAATATGTAATGCCAATTGTGGCATCACACAACACTACTTTAATCATCATTTATGACAACCTAACGAAGCGTTAGTGGTAGTTAAACCACTGAAATTGATCAATCTTCTATTACTGAAACCTGACGTCATCCATAAGAAAGATGCAACAAGGTAAATCGCATTTTATGTTAAGTAAATTTGTCTATTCAATATTTACTTATTTAAACGAAAACGTTAGCGACTTCTATTCTACTCTCTATTCCTCCACACATGTTCCAGACATCCAGAAGTTTTCAACCTCTTATAAAAATGTAATTTCTAAAATATTTATGTTTAATACGAAACGTCATTTAAATTAATTTTTATTAAAATTTTTCTTTTAGGAATATAAAAGAAGATATAGCATTTGCTGAATCAAGAATTCGTGCTGAAACTATAGCAGCTGAAGATGTTTTACACGATTTGGGAGCCATTAGTATCATGTCATCTGATTCACAAGTAAATAATATAAGATTTATAATGATAGTGAATTATCATTGACAAGTTATAGTGAAATTTGTGCTTCAAAATAAAGTTAAATACTATTTTTCTGGAATAAAATTATGTATAATTCGTATTTCAGGCAATGGGTAGAATTGCTGAGGTAATCTGTCGAACATGGCAGACTGCTGACAAAATGAAGAAGGTTAGGGGTCCTTTATCTGAAGATTCTAGCGAAATTGATAATTTTCGAGTGAAAAGATATGTAGCAAAATATACAATTAATCCAGCTATAGCACAAGGATTGTCCCATGTGATAGGTTCTGTTGAAGTAAGTTATAAAAGTTTTAAGTACGTAATTAAAAAAAAGTGCATGACTGTATTTTTAAACACAAATCTCTTATAACTAAACAGTAAATGAACAGAAGTGCTCCTATCAGCTTCTTAAAAAAAACTATATTAGAATCAATGCCTCTCTTGTCTGTTCACACGCATTAATATGTGTGAGTTAGAATTTGTTCTATATAAAATTTGAATTAACTTCTTAACTAATAGGTATATTATTAGATATATTGACTAGGGTATGCTTTCAATCGATTCAGCGCCAAAAACTACATCAATAGAGACTAAATTTCAGGTATTCATATTGGGATTAAATCACGTATTTTAAAATAATTTACAGCCTAACACGAATCAAAATTAATGAGGGATTTCTGGGTAATATTCAGCCAGTTAAGTTCAATAATCCAAGTAAAGTATTCATCAATTAGATTTACTAAAATCCAGTTGTAGGGACTTTTAAATTATTTATTAATTGTATTCAATATTGCTTTACACAGTATATTATTCACGAATGCTAAAAGAAGTACTTATAAATGCAATTAAATGTATATAGGTATGAGAAAACGCAGAAATATATATTTTATTTTGTGAATAATTCATGGACTTGGAACATTATACTCATAAAGTACACTTGTACTGAAATTTTTACATTCCATAGCATTGTTTCAGATCAATAATTTAAGAGTTTTTTGAATTAATACCAGTCTTAATTAATCTTATTTTCTACCAGTAAATCAAGGTACTTTCCACCATTTACATTGTAATGTAAAATTTGAAAATGTGACGTACTAATATAACGCCTTACCTTCAAATATTAAGTATTGCAATGCATTTTTTACAATATCAAAAAATTAAATTTAATTCCATACCAGCTTCTTCTATATCTGATTTGTTTCTGCATATTTTTCAATTTTTTAAATTAAAAATTGAACTCAAAATAAGTATGTTCTCAATACCTACTTACTCAAATAATTTAGATAGAATATTTTGTTTAAAGTAACATAGTTAAAATACATATATCTGAATCAAAAGATATTAGTTAAATAACATATTAATAATCTAAAATCTTAAGTCTTTCTTTTTATAAGTATTGCTACTTCTAGGTTGGAAAAATGGCTGATCTTGTTTTGTGGAATCCGGCATTTTTTGGAGCGAAACCCGATATCATTATTAAAGGTGGAGACATTGCTTGGACTGATATGGGTTTGTATTTTTTATTGGAAAGGGAAACTCATTTGAATATACGTATCTAAAAAAATAAAATCTCTTTTGGGCAAAAATGTAATGAAATTAAAATGGAGCTACTTCGAGTTGTTTTCTTCTTTTTAAAAAATGAATATTGCAATGTGCTTAGCTAGAATCAAACATATAAAATAATTTTTATTCTTTTCGGACATTATAATTTTCGGCTGTCTGAGAAGTTTCATTTTTGGTAAAAGAACCCCAGATAGCAGTGTAAAGCTCATTTCAATGTCAAGATCAACCTTTATCACAAAGTCCAACAGGGTTTATATACATATATGTTTAACGATTAAACTATGCAAACTTGAAATAATGGTAAATTTAACTATATGCTGGTTAACGCGCTTTGAATTTCGCATTAAACTTGCTTAAACATCCCTTTCATATCCAAATTGAGTCTGCCTTTACAGAACAAGGCTAGAAAAACTTTCTGAAATAAAGAATAAATCATCATTCGCAAATCAGGAGTAGAAAGCGTTCTCAAACCAAGGCGAAATTCGCCTTTGCAAGGTTTATTTTAGATTTTATGACCATTACTGGAATGAGGTTTATTTGCTCTGGCTGTTATATACTTTCTTTAAGACTTTAAAGGGGAAGATAGTTGCGTGATCATTAAACTTTCAAAACAAACAAAATGTTGCATTTAAGAGTCTAGACAAAGCTAGAATGAAAAAAAGTGAAAAAAAAAAAAGGATTACAATAAAAGCTAAAAAATGAGATTCTTTGCTAAGTTTAAGACTACCTATATCTAACCTTTAAGGAAACAAGATTGGTTTACTAGCATTTCTATCAAGTTTAAAAAAGGATTAAGAAGTCAACATTTTTACTCAAAGCAAAAGAAAACGAAAATACATTTGCAGTAAGATTGTCTGCTATCTGGAAATGTATTAGCAGGAATTTATAAATATAGCAGGTAGTTTTAAATATGTGACTATTAATTATATCTCGTTAAAATTTTAATAATCCAAATAGATGAAGAAGAAATCATTTTTTAATAAACTAATAATAATATAAGTATTTTATTGTTATTATTATAATAAACAATTTTTAATTAATTATTTTTATTTTTAAAGAAATTTGGTGACACAAAACTATATTGAAACATTACTATGTGTAACTTCCTTTAAATGGAATTAAACTTTGTATTTGATTAGGGATGCCAAATGCTTCGATTCCAACAGTTGAACCGGTAAGACAAAGAAAAATGTTTGGAGGCTACGGGAGCTCCCACAAGAGAAATTCCTGCATCTTTGTATCAAAGGTAGGTAGTACACAAAAGTAATTTGTTCTAGGTAATAAATTATAAGTTTAGAGGGCAATATTTATTACAATTTAATGTAGTAGAATATGACATAGTAATACAGTAAAATGTGATACAGAAATATAGTAGAGAGTGACCACTGTAACGTTGTGGAATTTGACCCTGTAATGTAGTAAAATGTGTCATAATATCTAGCAGAATGTGCTACTGCAACATAATAAGACAACATTTTTACAATAATTTGAAAAAAAAAGAAGTTTTTTTTCGTATACTATTACAATAATAGTATTTTAATTCTAATTTTACAGAATGTGACTCTGTAATGCAGTAAAACGTAATAAAAAACTTACTAGAATGTGATATTGCAACATAGTATAACAACAATTTTATAATAATTTAAAATAAGTGCTTTTATTTTCATATGCTATTACAGTAATAGTATTTTAATTATAATTCACTACTGACTTATTTGGAAAAAAAGCATATCCTCGTAATATTAGTTAGGACATTAATTTCTGATTTAAAGATAAACTCGTACTACTGCATATATTTTAAGAACAGTTCTCATTATATATATTTTAAAACTTTGTAGGTTCATGATAATTTGTAATAATTTTTTTACTTTGCTTTTACAATTAGTGTCTTATGATTTTACAGTTAGTGTCTAATAGAAGAAAACAAAAACAAAGAATATTGTTACAAATTTTGACGAATCGTTAGCGTGATCGATTGTAGAAAAAAGAAGCATTATGCCATAGCGTATTTAAGCTTTCGTTAAATAATAACAAAATTAGTAATTATGAAACTAATTATGCAACTAAATATTTTTTGTAGACATCTTAAACCTTTTTGTATAAGAGTTTTAAAAATATTTATTACAGCTGCTGTTTCGTAATTGAGTATTTCACATTTGATATGCTTTTTGTTTCAATATTTTCAGGTATCTATGGAAAAAAAGATAGTGCAAAATTACAATATAGGTAAAAGAATCATAGCTGTAAGAAATTGTAGAAATATAGGAAAGAAAAATATGGTCTTAAATAACACTTTACCAAAGTTAAAAGGTATTGACAGCATTTTTATATTTTGTTATCTGCGGATTAATTACATATTAAATTCTTTGCAATTATAAAATATGTTATAAGTTAAACAAACAACGTGAAAAAGTCCAAGTTATGCTTAAATGGTTATAGTTTTGATCCTCTCTTACATAATTCTTAATATAAGAGAGGGGTATTTCATAAGTTAATTTTCTTAAAGCAATTGCTATAGTTTATATACGAGTATAACACGAAAATCAAACCAACAGAGAAATTGAAGAATTATCTGTTGTTTGTAAGTCATTTTAATGTTATTTATATACTTTACATCTCCTGCATGAAGTTATCCTGCATAAAATTACGTAACTTAAACATAAAATGTTATTTAAAATTATTTAAATTATTATGCTTAAAATGAGTTTTAAAAAATATAACCATTGTAATTGAAATATAGTTTCATCTTTGAATTTTATATCATTCTATTTATGGTTTTTTAAGCTTCGCATTTTATCTAATGACGTTAACGTTGTTATTTTTAAGCTTAGACATAAACATTTAATTTTTAAATTTATTTATTATTTAGAATTAAAGTATTTTTCATAAGTTTAATTTAATTTCTCTGTAAAACAGAATAATTATATGATTTGAATGGTTATGGCTAAAGTATAATTTGTACATATAATATTTTATGTAATTATATAAAATCGTAATGATCAGAATCAGTATACTAAAATGAAAATTTTATTGAAAGAAAAAAAGGTATGCGAAGGCTTGGCAACATTACACTAATTGAACTGATGAATTCTTATTTTTTTTGTTTAATTCAATTAACATAAATAATTAATGTGAAGTGATCGAGATAAAACAATGATAAGCCAGCTTATTTTTTACGAGCCGTTTTAATGAAAACAACACGACGATTTTTCATAGACATTGTGATATTTTACGTACTCTGTTGCTATCTAGTGAACGTTTCAGAAACTTATAAATTATATATCTATAAACAATACCTATAGAAACAGTTTGACGTGAAAATAATACATTTGAAAAAAATTGTGGCTCATCATTTTATTGCCTTAAACTTTTCGTATTTTTTTATTTTTGTCCAAATTTACATGGAACCACAAATGAAAATTTCACAAATTCCAATAAAGAGAACTGAAACTAAAATACGCAATATGAATATTTTAAGCCTAGTAATCTTTAAAAATTGGTTCATTCTGATGAAAATAAAAAGTAGAATATTACTGTCATAATTTTATTATAACGTAGATTTCTTTTGGAATTTCAGTTGATCCAGAAACCTATAAAGTGTATGCAGCAGAGACAATAGACGGTAAAGAAACATGGACTCATTTGACATGCGAGCCAGCAGAAGTGTTGCCACTAGCACAAAAATATTTCTTATTCTAAATTCGAAGTTTTTTAATCGAAATTAACCTGATTCCAGTCATTTCAGTTTCAAGAATTCAGTGTTATTTTATTTATTTTTAAAATGTAAATGTGTCTTTTTGTAAAACATAGTTTTCTAACACCTGAAAATAAAACTCAAACTGAAATGGATTGAGACAGAGGCTGTGAAATGCCATCACAGTAAAATAGTCAAACTATTGATTTTTTTAGTTTTTAGATATTTCCACAGCATATAAATATGAGAATATTTAAATGAAACTTATGTGAATGAGATACATGAAATTGAGTTGTCTTGAAACCTAATTTTCCTTCATAACTGTTTCAATTTTTTACCGATTCACTTAAAAGTTTCACATTGTATGTACAACTAATGTACGTAGCTTCAACATTTATGTATGTTATGTAAGACGCACTATTGTTTTGATTGGGTTGATAACATCTAATTTATTAGAAGGACCGGAAAATAATGTCGTTTCGGTGCATTTGATATTTGTTATCAAACTTTTATTTCTAATCAATAATGTATTCAACCTCGTTAGCAATAACCTTTCAATGCCAGATTAAAAATGAATCGAAAAAATGAATTTTTTTCTAAGATTAACGAATATTTAATGCTCCGAAACGACATTACTTTCCGGTCCACCTAATATTAACTAACGAATCTTGATTAGTAGCATTTTTTGTGCAATTATCACTTATTGAAATAATAACTATTTAATGTATTTAATTTTGAAAAAAATTGGAATGAAATTGATGAAACCTACTTTAGGCCGGGTAATGTTCTGCTTTGGTGTTTCAAGTTCTTTTTATATACGAATGTTGCTATCACAATGTTTTACAGTAAATTAAATATAAACTATTTATTAATACTTATCATAAGTCAATCATAACAAAAGTTACCTCTTTTACAACTTTCTAGGCATAATTCATTAACACTTTTGACAGACAAGGAAATGACACAAAGTGTTGGATAACATTTACATATGTAAATAATTTTTACAATGTAGGTAAATGATATGTTTTATGACGAGCTGAATGCAGCACAATTTATTCCAAACAAAATTAATATTTTTTTTAAAAAAAAAGAAGAGAGTCATAAAAGTTATGCATGTTACCAGTGGTTCAGAGAAAAGTTTTGCTTTGCATTCATGAAAATACTGGCTCAAAAACTATAATTATAGATATAAAGGCTATAGTCATAGTACCTGCCCTTAGCACATAACGACTTATTTAATAAATCTACTTAGAGAAAAAGTACTTAAGTATACTTTAGCACACTGAGAAAAAAGTATGGTACCAAAAGTAGCAGAATATAATAAAATTTACCTTGTGCCTGATGGTTCTATGGGTACACCAAAATCTGGGTAATTTTTACCGTAGCACTTTGGTAATGATTTTTGTAAAATTAATAATAAAATATGGTTTAATAATATGTGATAAAATTTTGTAAATTTATAATAATATCTTAGAGCATAGCATAAAAACCATTTATTCGGTAAATTTGGTTCTTAATTTTGTATTTCTTATTAAATGTGCAATAATAAGAACTGCAATTTTAAAAATCATAAATTCCGGTAAACCATTGTCATATGAGCGGAAAAATTATTACTTTTTTGGTTTAATTAACGTATATTTTTGTTTTATTAAACATAATTATGTTTTTTTTATCACTAATGTCATTGCCATAGAATATGGTAATTTTCTCAGAATTTTTTCTTTCGTGCATGAACTTATACAAAAAATAAAAATGTCAGCCTTAAAAATCTGCATTAGAGTTTTCTTGGTTTTAAGAGAATTTTTATTGTAAGTTAGTGCAATTATTTTCTGTTACAGCCTAGATGTTTGTATAACTTGAAACCTTGCGAACAAATTTAGTATTGATTTACATTTTTAGTATTGAAGTATTGATTTGAATGCATCAAATGCACATTTGTTGTTCAAAATGTATGATATGTTTCATGACCTATCTTATGCGTTTTAAGTTTTATAACATATCATTGACTTTGTTGTCTGTGCCACATTAATGTAATGCATTCTTAATTTGTAATTATATACATATATAAGGACATATTAAGCATGCATTAAGCATTTATAAGTACATATTATGTACAATTAAACTCATATTAAGCCTCATAATTTGTTCAGTGTTCTGAATATACAAATTTGCCAGAGGTTTGAATATGCAAATACTATTATTATTACACTGTGTGTTAGAAAATTTCCTTTAACGAGTTAATTAGTGTTTTTAAAATTATTTTAAAGAATAAATCTTCAAAATGACTGTTGATGTTTTATTTTTGTTGTTCATATTAAATTCAAGCGCAGTTTCTGAAAAAGTATAAGATAACAGTTCAAAAACTGTTTTCGTCAATTTATCGCAGCTTCGTGGAATGATTTTGTCTCACTGAAGGTGTAATAAAATACTCAGTGTCTTCAAAGTTTTGAGGGAGAAAGTAGAGAGTCTTGTCTCAAAAATTAAGAAATATCAGTATATTGAGCTGAAATACACAAAGCACTGTTTTCATTTCTCAGTTGTGATGAAATCTGAAATCTTGTATGCTGCACAGATATATGCTGCTCATTTCTTGTATGCTGCATTTGTACCACATTATTCAAAATACTTGTTATATTCATCTCAGTCATTTTGGACCCTTATTTTACATAAATGTGCAATTTTTTTCTAAAAAGGTAAAAAATCTTGCATCACATCTGACAGAAATGTTTAGTCTATCAGAAGTGTCCTCCAATAATTTCGGAAATAATCAACTTGATTTGCGGAGAAAATAAACACGGAATTGATTTAAATTCAAATTATTTCTTCGGAGTGAATAAGGAATTGACTTCCTTTTAAACCTTCGAGTGCATAGCATTTTATTACACTGTACATTTAAGTGTTTTTAAAATCTTGGATTCGAGGTTTTGCTCAGCAATACAGCAAAGTATTTAATAAAATTAATACAGTAATTAAGTACTTTGCCATTATTTACTCTAATATAACATTCATGTCGATTCTGGGTGAAAATTTCTTCATGCAGACCTAAAAGGACTATTTTATTTCGTACGTTATTATTCTTGGTGTTCACAAGTTTTCGTAAAATGCTTGAACCTCTTTTTATTTGTTCTTTTAAATTCTTTTTTTTCTTATAACGAAGAAAATTCTCAAAAATTCCAAAATTTTGTGGGGCTGATAGTTTTTCAAAATTTATTATAGATATCGGTATATTGGGTTAAAACACATAAAAAAAATGAGATCAAAAGCTTTTAGCATGCATTCATTACTTCAATCGAGGTTACTTTTGTAAAAAGTAAACAAGTTAACAGTTATCCTGACAAGACAGCCTAGAAACTTTTTTTTTGCATTTGATAGCCAAAATTTTTTAAATAAAACAAAATAATGTAACAAAAGGATGGTGATGACTACTAAGTTTTCGAAAATACATGATAAGCTTAAAAACAGTGCGGTAGGGTCAGATCTTTGAAAATTAATTATTAACATATTTTAACTGCATATTTTATTAACATGTTTTAACTGCGTCACCACATCCTGCTAGCATATTTCAAAAATAATTTTACTCCTTAAACCGCATAAACAAATACAGAAAATAATTTCTTTATTTTTTTTACAAAACCTCGTAAATGTTGTTTTCAATAGTTATCTAACAGATCTTTTTTTTTTTTAATGGAATATCTGATATTCACCATCACGCAGAATCCATTCATAGAAAAATGGAGTGAAGTTATTGTAAACATTTTGAATGTTTATACTGATTAATGATTACATTCTGTAGAATTAGAACAAATAGATCGATTTGTGATACATGTAAGGTCAAAGGCGTAATGTATTATGTAGTGTAGATTTGCGATTGTGTAGGTATAGTTTAAGCTTACTGAAGTTTTTTTAGAAAAAGAAAGTAAGTTTATTATTACACTTAAATTACGCTTTTGTTATTATATTTTAATAGCATAATTTAAATTTTTTAAAAATATGATTAAATATATTAGCGTAATTTCATTACGACATCGAAGAAAAGTTCTGATAATTTAAAAATTAGAAGCAGATTACGTTTTAATTTTGACTGAGTGTTAAACTATACATTAAGTTGACTAGAGAAATCGCTATAACTATCAGATCTTTTTTTTGTGTTTTTTTGTTTTTGTGAAAATGACGTTTAAAATTTGCGAGTATCTCAGACAAATCACGTCTATGGATTATTTACTCTCCAAGAAGTTCATAATATCTTGTCGAAAATATTCTTAAACGTTACAAATAAAAAGTTTTAAAATCTGTTTCTGTAAGATTGAAACAACATTGAACTTTTCTGAAATTTGAAACTTTTTTCTCTGCATTTTCTGAAAGCCTTTAAATCGCAAAATAATATATTAAAATAATTTTACAAAAATCTCAATTTTATGAGTTTACAGCTATCGAATATATAGCAATCAATGATATATTCTTTAATATTAGGTTTGTTGAAATTAGCCATTTTAGATCTCTAAAACAAATATTTATGAGAATGTTATTTACATTTTATTGTCAAAAAAGATAATTGACTTCCTGATCATATAGCTGCTTAAGAATGTTTTTGCTAAAGAAAACAATTACTGTTTTTTTTTAGCTTCAAGAGTTTGATTTTTTTGTGTACAACAAGTTTGTTATTTGTTATGTTTTGGTAGTTTGTTGTACGTAATCTTCAAACTAAAAAAAGAAAGAAAAAAACTCATTTTTACGCACTTAATTTTCAGAAAAAAAAGAAAAAAACAAAGAAAAAAAAATTTGTGGTCTTTTATTCTATTTTTTAGAATTTTATAAGTCTGATACGATTTTACGATGATACGAGAAGATACGAGAAGAAGATGATACGATTGTTTGATTAATCTTGAAACTCTATGCTTGGCGTTATAATTCATAACGCATTTTTAATGAATAAATAAAATAAATTCTAATTTATAGTTTAAATTATATTCATTATTGTTTCTACAAAAATAAATGCACAAACGTTCCGTATTTTTAAAATACTCAATATACTGTTAAAAATTCCGAATCAAATTACGGTATGAGGTAACGGCACTTAGGGTGCATCATCCGCAAAATCCATTTTACATCAATATTTATTTAATTAGTGTTTCAGTGATCTTACATTAATTATTAATGTAAAATGTATGGTATATCAGATTCTTTGTTCCGTAGCATGTTCGGGCAAAAATCGGATTTTTACGGAGTGCCGGTACTTTTTACCGTAATTTAATCGATTCTTTTTTTTTAACACTGCACTTACTAAATATTCGTAAAATTGATTTTTACTTGTTAACTATTTGCTATTTAGTATACGTGTAGATGGAATACCCTTTTGCAGTGCTACTCCTTTTGCAAAGGGACACAAGAACACACAAATAACCATAACAAAAACATATCAGTAATATATTTAAGTGACAAACGTGGTCTCTCCTGGTTCCAAAATATCATATGATTCGCTATTATTGGACGAATAAACCACCTGACAAACTTAAAAGATCTTTAATAGATATCTTAAGGTCTTATCAATAAGAAGAAAAAAAGTTATTGGTTATTGTTTTCGATTTCGTTTGTAAGTGAACATAGCTTAACACTACGAAAGATATTTCTTATATTTTCAATAGATAATATTTAAGAGTATTTTTAATATTTGATATTATTATATATAGTATCATTATATGGTCTTCATACCATTATAACAAAGAGGTATTTCTAATATTTTTCATTTTTATTAACAAAGCATTCATATTTAACTTTTAATAGATTTAATATCAAATTATAGCTATTAACTAAAATAAATGCTACAAAATAGGCGCTTAAATATTTTTCGTATTAATCTTTGCAAATGTTCAAAAAATGAATATGAAGAAATAAATATGAAAAAAAAAATATGGCCTTGTATGAATGTGAAGTATGTAATATGAATACGTTTGTACTTAGAATACAAGTTCTGTTAAGTTTAAATCTTGACATTTATTATATCACGTAGTTTTACAAGCTACCAAAAAATGCAATGTTTGCCACACTATGTAATTTATAACCTAGATCATAATTTTCTTATTTAAGAAAGGTTAGAAACAAAAACTAAAAAATTTTTGATCTAATGATCGGATCTTCACATTCTAGGAATTAATCTTAATAGTCGGAGGGGGTGACCTAAAATAAGTTAATCAATTAGTGTAGTTTTGTTATTTGAAGTTTTGAAATCAGACACTAAAACTTTCTGATTCCCAGAATATAGAGAGTAGCCGAAATCTGGAAAATATGGCTCCAATAGTCAAGAGAGTGGTCCAAAGTTCGGATCCCTTGATGTTAATTTTACTTCTTGCGTACTTCAAAATATCTCAAGAATTTTTTAAGCGAATTGAAAAATTTCTGCACGCAATCATAAAGTTTCTTTATCCAAATATAATTCCATGCAGACTATAATTTTTAGTAAATATTTGTTATTTTTCTTATTTTATTTAATAAAAGTCGAAATAATTTTCAAATTTAAAGTATACAATTTTTTTACATTATTTTAAGGAACGTAATTTTAAATGGCAAAATACAACGTTTGCGCTAAATCTGTCGAATAGTACTTGAGAAATCAAATTTTAAAAATACAACTTTTTTTTTCACTAGTACCGTTCTAAGATACTCATTTTTTTTCCAGCTAAATCTTTAGATAGAATATATATCAATAAGGAGAATATACTAAGTACTAAGTACCTTAAAAATTCCTTACAAAGTTTTTTAAAATATTGTTTAACATATTCATATATTTAGTTCTTTAGTTATGGAACATAAAATACTATAATAAAAAAGGGAACTGTTCTTTGCTTGAAGCTGATTCAATTATATTTGATTTAAGTAGAAGATGAAGCTTTGCCCCCGAGAGTTGGAATCGTTGCTGATTCATTATGCTGGTTACATTGCCCAAAAGAGACTGGCTAGAGGTTGTAAGCTAAACCATCCTGAAGCCGTTGCACTCATTTCAAGCCAGGTAACTCTTTTTTCAAAAAAAAAAAAAACGAATAAAATTTTTTAAAAATGATTAATTGCTTTTGGTGATTGATCTAAAGTGTTCGTACAAGGTCTTATGTAAACATACTCTTTCGTAAACATAATGGGAGAAACATCAAAATATATTCACTTCTCTGCCAATTTTACCCCCACCAGTATCCACCAGTATCATTAACACTTATTACTTTTATGACATCGATGTTAACAGTCCATCCCTCAACTTTCACCCTATTTTTAAAAAAAATATTTTTAGAGATTTGTTGTAACATTAGCACGATAACTTCATTCTCTTATGTAAGTCTTTTAAACTCTGACGAAAAAAATGTCAGACCGTTTCTTATGATATCGTATCTCTAATGAAAGAATTATTTGGAGAAAAGAAATGATTGACATGGAGAGAAAAAAATATAACCTAAACATTAATTATTAAAAGCATATGCAATATAATTAATGTTGCTTGAAATGGTGCTGAAGATATGTGATTCCCTAAAAGGCGAATATCATTAAAAATAATAATGCACTTTCATTTTAAACGAAAATTATTTATTTTTAGTTTTATATTCTAAAGGGAAGACTAGAAGCATTTTTAAGTTAAATATAATGAAGTTTTAGAAATTTTACCTCATTATATAGAAAGATTGTATTTCGATGGACCAAAAAGGAAAAAAAAATTCTATAAGATAATGAAATAGAACTAAATATATCATTTAATACTGGATTTTTAAAAACAATTTCGAAATATTCTTACTTAAAACATGATAAAAATAACAATTCTCTTAGACCATAGCTTTTAGTTCAAAACATTACATTATATAAAATCTACATACAAAATTTCAAAGAATTCTATGATAAACTTTTGTTTAGTATTTTGTGTTAGCGTAAAACGTGCTTTAAACGTAAAGCGTGTTATTTTTTTATAATGTGTGTTAGTATCTCAAATTTAGCTTTCATCAGAAAATGCCTTTTAGATACGAGAAAATTCTGAAATGTTAGAAAATTCAGACAACAGAAAAATTAGCAATTGAATAATTAATTTTTAAAATGAATTTCATTTTTCCTAAAAAATATAGTTTATTAAAATAAAAAAGGTTAAAATACTTTAAAAGCCACAAAAACATTTTAGTTTCGGGAGTTTGCTTTCGCTTTCGTCTTTCAACATTGGAAAAAAAAAATTATAACTTCATTTCTAAAAATCAGAGATAAAAAAATTTAAAGAGTTTTGCAGCGATAATGTATTAAAGTTCAAGCAGGATTATGAAAAAAAGCAATAGCAATTTTCGTCAAATCTGCTGATTTTTACCTAATCCGATATCTTCAGTGTTTTAAACCTTTTTATCTGTGTTTTTCGCGTCTAATCTGTGTCACGTTGTTTTCAACTTTATTGTACTACATTATTAAGAAAATTAAAGAGATTCAGCAACTTCTCGTAGCTTCTGTGCGCGAATGTTCTGCGCCCATGTCCGCGTACGTATGTTCTGTGCAAGCTGTGAGGAGTTCCAAAAATGTTCTGAAGTAGGTGCGCTGCATCGAACATTTGTGTATGATACTACGTAAAAAGGCGAAATACTTTTACTTTTTTTGAAATTTAAATGCTTTTAAAACTAAATTAAATGCTATACTCTTAGATACAAGAATATGCAAGGAATGGAGAAACAGTGTCAGATCTCATGGAGAAGGGGCGTCATATACTAGGTAAGCAATTCTAATTTTGTGTGTAGTAAGAAATTTGTTTTAATATTTTTACAATTTTTCAATGCAAAATAGCAAAATTTGTCGTATAGTAATAAGGTATAAATAATTTTATGTAAATTCTTATCTACTTGAATATTAAAGGTCAATTATAATATTTTTCAAAATATGTTATAAAATTTACTACCGGATATTTTTAAAAGCACCGTTGATTTGACGATGGGAAGGAATTAGAAATGTGCAGTATTCTACGCAGAAAATCAGAAAAAAATAATTTGAAAATTTAAAAATTAGTTTCTGAGTGCTTCAAAAGATGGCGCTGCTAACTGAGGAAAACTATGAAACAATGTTTTAAAAATAACCATTTTTTTATAGCAACAACGTGAATCTGTCAGAGGGAAAATTAACTAACGTCTTAGCAAATATTTTAATTGAAATGATTTGAAACACAGCTGAAAAGATTTTTTTTTTTTTTTTAGTTTTTCAGTCAGCAATTCCATCTGTTGACTTGTGGTGAACGCTAGATTATTAACTTGGGTGAATAAATAATCTAGCGTTAACCTCAGGCAAGCTAATTCTTTTTCCTTTTTTGAAAAAAAAATTTTAATTTTCAGATAATTGGTTATTTTTTAATTAACTTAATATACTGTGGTGAAGATATTTCATTGATTAAAGTGTCTATAATCATATACTATTAAAAATTCTGGATCAAATTACAAGATAAAATACCGGCACTTTGGGTGAATCATCTTTTGATCGTAAAATATTGCACCGTAATTTATACAGCAATATTTGCATAATAAAAAAGATTTAATGATTTTACGATACTTATTACTGTAAAAATTACGGTGAATCAGATTTTTTTGTTCCTTAACTTGTTCCGGTGAGGATGGATTTTACGATAAAAAAGTACCTACCCTCTGAGTATCTCAGCTTTTAACGTAATTTGATCCGGAATTTTTTGCAGTGTACTTTCTGTTAGCTCCCAATATAATTAGTGGACTTTCAATAAGTGAAAAAATCAGCAACTCCTTAATCCTGAAATTTAATTGATAATTTCTTGCATTTCACAGGAAGAAAACAGTTGATGGATGGAGTTGGTGACATGATATCTGACATACAAGTTGAAGCCACTTTTCCAGATGGAACGAAAATGGTTGATACAAAATTTTTTAATATTCAGTCTCTATAAATTATATCAAATATCTAGGATTTAATGAAAATATAGGGAAAGTGAACAATAATTTAAATTTGAATACAGAAAAATATTTCACATATTTTTTTAAAAATCTATTCAAGCATTTTAACGAAAAATTATGTGTAATAAATTTATAATAATTATGCTAACTTCAATGAAAATAATAAATTAAATTATGATAATTCGACATAAAATTATAAATTTTAACTATAATAAGTCACATAGTCATAAAATTATAGCCATTTGAGTAAGGGAGACAGTTAGTCTTAAATTTTTCTGTTTATTTATCTTTCTTATGTATTTTATGAATGCTTTCCATTATTTTTCAAGATACTGTGGGGGCTATAATTTTTCTTTATTGTCAGTTATTTTCAATAATTTAGTTCTAGATAGTTTGCAACTCCTGCCAATCAATATTTAAATTTAATTGGAGTTGGTTTATTTGTGGATGGGAACTACTAATCCTCATTATTCTGTCATTTCTTTTAGCATAGTATTCAATATGTGTTAATTGTTTTTTTAAAAAAAAAACATTGTTTTTATTTAGGTAGCTGTCTCCCATCCCATATGCAGTGATAACGGAAATATAGAAGAAGCGCTATATGGCAGTTTTCTACCTGTACCTGATTTAAGTGTCTTTCAAAATGTAAGTTAAATTTTCTTTCAAATTTTTTAAGCAAATAATAAAAGGACTTTGAACTACCGTGGTAAGCTAGCCTTTTCCAACGGTGACCTTTCGAAATTGTTGTTATTACTGTTTCTAGGTATTTTCCGAGGTTTTGAAATCTTCACTACCCAACATTCTAACACACAGAACCACCTTACAGTCTACATGAAAATGATTTAGTTCAGTAAGAACGCTTTTCTAAACAACTTGAAAATGTAACTTATATAGGCGATTTTAATATGGGATGGGACATCTTGGACACATATACACTATTATTTATAATTATAAGGCTTTGTAAAATATCGTAACCAAGTTTTCAAAAAAAAATTTATAAATAAATAAATACATAATTAAATAAATAAATAAATTGAAATAAAATAAAATAAAATAAAATAAATGAATAAGTAAATAAATAAATAAATAAATAAATAAATAAACAAATAAATAAATAAATAAATAAATAAATTAATTAAAATAAAATAAAATGAAATAAAATAAAATAAAGTAAAATAAAATTAATAAATAAATAAGTAAATAAATAAATAAATAAATAAATAAATAAATAAGAGGTAAAAAACATTACCTTAACATTTTTTCAAAAAAAAAAATCCTCAGTGACCACTCATGGTCTTAATATAGAACTGTAAAAGTGTCAAAAGATGTTTTGATGTTCTGTTTTGAATCGCAACTCTCACTGAACTTTGGTCCCATTCGTTTCAAACAGATTTTTTAAGAATGTTGAAATCCTATGAGGTTTAGTATAAACCTTAGTTTCCAAGATGGTAGTAGCGGTTGTACTTTATTTATGTCGCACTAGAGATGGGAGACGGTTCTTGAAATAGAGAGACGAAGACATGCCATCAGAAATTTTGGTAGACCGATGACTTGTTCGCGAAGTCGAGCATTTTACGGTAGAACATAGTTTTTCGAAGTTCTTCCGCCAGGGAAAATGAAAAAGCCATAGTTTAAGTGCCTTAGACTTGAAGCATAGCAATAATTTTAGACTATCTATGCAATTTTGCCGTGAAGAATTATCTGTGCATTAGAACGGACAAATGACTTAAATATTTTAAAACCTGTTAAACTTTTTTGAAAACCACAAATTTAGCGACATATTTTCTCATATATAAAAATTATCAAAATAAATGCTTTATTCTCGGTTTTTGTAAACTTTTATGAACTTAAATAATGCAGCATAGGATAAGTCTTTAAATATTAAAATATTAGACAACAAAAACTTTTTTTTCTTCTCAAAACTGTGGCTTTTCTCTACATTGACGTTTTGCGTCATTTTTAGAATACAATACAAACAAAGAGAGCACTGGTTAAAGATAGGTTAAAATTGATCTAACAGTCGCGAATAACTGTAGCAAACTCTTTGCTGTAATGAATATAGAATATTATTCGCAAAAAAGCATCATTTCATGCGACGACAGAGCCTTAGAAGAGCAGCCTTGATGAGAAACGATGCATCATACTTTAGGTCTCTTTGCAAGCTGATCAAACTGTCACCCACTCGCTCATTGACCTCAGTCAGTGATAATTATCTACTTGACTTACTATAAGTTCTCTCTAGGACATTTCCAAGATGGTCAATCTCTTGCTGTATAAGAGTAAGGAAAATGTGTTTTGTTCCATTCTTCAGGGGTTTTAGCTCCCGCGTGATAGAAGACCATAAGGGATAATACAATAAACTTTCATATTTATGTTTCGATGCGTTCTTAGATTAATACTTGACATAGAATAATAATTAATAAAAGGCATTTTGAAACCTCGGTGCTGGATAGAAAGGTTTAGTTTTAAACTCTGTACAAATTATTCTAGGCAACTTTGTGGTTTCACATACCCTTCATTTACACTATTTTTTTAAATGCTTTTGCACATGTAATTAAAAAAATATATGTACTTTGCTTTCTTTTAAATTATGCAGTTTTTTTAATATGATATTTAATGAAAGATATTTTAATGAAAGATATTTTATTACTAATTTAAAGAACTTTTGAATTATTACTTATTTAATGAAAGATATTTTAAGGAAGTTATTTTTCTGAAGAGAGTGATATTTTATCTAATCAATTTTGAATTATATTACAGGAGGATATTGAATCTGGAAATGGAGTGCTAATGAAAAGCCCACCTGGTTGCTTTTATCCCAAAAAGGGGGAGGAAAAAATTCAAATCAACAAGAACCGAAGGAGGATCACACTGAAAGTGACTAGCATCTGCGATAGACCGATTCAAGTAATTACTTTATATATTCCTGTTCGTATTTCTAGTCACAGAAGCTTACATCAATTTAGGAATGTTAGAAAAAATATTATTTAATGAAAATAGAAACTCAGAAGCACGAATGTAGATGAGAAGGCTCCATGTATCGGTCCTGTTTCATTGCGCAAAGGGAATTAGCTTTAATTAACAAATGTTTGCAACAACTATCAAACAATTAATTTTTACAAGCTAGTGAAATTAAAAATTTCACTTTAAAACACTTCAGAATCTACAAAATAGAAAATTTATCTCTAAAATTTGTTTTGTGACGATTTGTTTCTTTAAACAAACTTTGATGCATCAGTTGTGTGTGGTGTTACATAATTTTTTGTCATTTTTGAGAATTTTGAGACAAATATATCTGTTAGAGAAATACTAATAACTACTTCAAAATTCTTATACAGTCGTTAATAATCTTTAAATAGTACTTAAAATTTATAACTATTATATAATCTTTAGTTATGGAAGAATTCCAAACAGTTTTTTTTTTTTGGTTAAAAAACTATATATTGATTTATGCTTACCAAAACTTACTTTATTCAAGTAATGGTACAAAAGATATATAAATTAAATAACAAATTACGATGCTACTTTTTAAAATTCAAACTAAAAAGACAAACATATATTAAGTAATATGTTTAAATATACTTTCGAAACAATTAATTAAATAGTTTAAAAATATATTTTAAAGGAGCAATTATATTTGTTGCTGATAAATTCATCTTTTATTCAAATTAGCTCCATGGTCACAAATATAGTTCTTTAAAATCTAGAGAGAGAATTAAAATTTAATACAAATGTACGAATTATTATTTTTTCATATTGACAAAATATATTATAATTTTTTGCTTAAATAGATTTTTATAACATCTACAATATATGAGAAATAATGTTTTGATGTTTGAAGGTACTCAAAGATATTATTTGAAGAAATACCATACGAATTATTAAATTTTTTGTTAGTGTTTTTAACTCAATGCAATTTTTTTTCAACTAGCGACTAACGTACATTTAGAACAACTTAGCCAGTTTAAGTAGTGTTTTGCTTCAACGTTCACAACGTTCATATTTTCAAATTTGTTATACGTATGTATATTATGTAAGATTTATTTATTTCTGATAAGTGCATTTTTGCAATATAAGCTTTTTAATTTATTCTTAAACGTATTAAGGAAATGTAGTTAAAATGATAAATGTTTGTTATTAAACTGATTATATAACATTAAATATAATAATTAAATTTAAATAAACATGTTTAACATGGATCACAATTGTGAACATAACTTCTTTTATGAGTGTTTATTTTATCTCTGTAAGAAAAAAAATTATATTTAATATTTATAAGTGAAGTAAGTCATTTAGACGTTTGTTTATAAATATAGATCACCGTTTTTTATATTTTTAGGTTGGGAGCCATTATCATTTTATAGAGACCAACAAACGCCTAATTTTTGACAGAGAAAAATCCTACGGAATGAGACTGGTAATTTGAAGTAGAATATTATTATGCTTAATTTATTGAATTTTAGTTTTGAGGAAATTCTTAGTCAAGGTATAAGCAAAGAATTAATTGTGTGTTCTCATGTACTGTTGTCCACGAAATAGAAAAGAAAATTCAAATTAAAATTTAACTTTCCTTGTTAAAAAATTTAAATATATTTAAATAATTAAAGATGATTTGTGAGATTTGATTTTAGGAAAAATATTATATAGGACTATAATATAACTCGATTGTAAATTAACAAGTCTCGTTAAATTGTAACCAAATTTAGATTGAGCATTTTTACAGATAATAAAATAAATGCCCCACTTTAACTATCCAGCAATCATTGAGATGTATTTAATTACTGAATCACGTGATCTAAATCACTTTCAAATATGAGACGAAAATGCTTCCTTAAATCGGAATCTCATCACAATGCATTGTGAGAGATCTTCCCACTGAGTAATTCCCTGAATGTTTTTTTGTCACTTTGTCAACCGGCTTGTATGGTTGTCAAGGAACAGACCACATGCAAAAAAGGTTCTGGGTTCGAATCCCAGTCTGAAGAATGGAGGATTTATCTTTTTTTTCTTTGCACTATCTGTTGTACTTACTACGGGAGCAACATGGACTCGTCCAATATGGTCCTTGAGAGACTAGCCAGTACTTCTGCTCTTGCGCTCGAATCATATACCAGAAAACGGTTTCGTTTCCGGTTCGGTAAGAATTTTTGCAAAATATGAGCATCAATTTTTTTGTGAGATAATTCGAATACAAACATGACGAATCTAATAGGGCCTTGTTGGTAGGGCGCTGGGCCCATGTCCGAGAGTTCATGGGTTCGAGCCCCTCCGGCCGTAGACTCCCCGCGTAGTAAAATGGTGACTGATCCACGTAAAATTTGACGAGGAGCAAAGTCCTCCTTGTTCCCATAACAAATCAAGACCTCTGGGGGTACTGAATTGGAGATTGATCTTTCTCTGATTCATGTGGATGATTGAATGAATGTATGAATGGGTCCGCCTTATAAACGGGCGTGACATATGGGTCTGGCAAAAGTCGAATTCTTGGCCACAGATGGCGCCACTGGAAATCAAGAACAATCGCACGCCTCTGCCTTAACAGACATACGTCAACAACAACTAGAATCAAATAGTTGTTATATTTAAGTAGTTTGATTGAGAAAATTTTGGTTTTATTTCTTTCAGGATATTCCAGCTGGATGTTCGGTGAGATTCGAACCAGGAGAAGCAAAAAACGTTACTTTAGTGGAAATAGGGGGTGCTAAGTATAACTATCTTTTCTTTTGCAAATCAAGTATAACTTTACCGCATTATTGGACTATGAAACTTATGTTTTCTATTTTCCCATAGAATTATTACTGGTGGCAATAATCTTTGCAATGGTCCTATGAATGAACGATTCTTACCAACTATTATGCAGAAAGTTATAACACTTGGTTTCGGACACAAAATTCAGGTAATCAAATTTTTTTCTGCAGGGTAATTTTTAAACACCACCCTAACTGTAAACCTTTGAAATGCTGCTCAAACACAACCTTAAATGAGAAACAAGAAATAAACAATTAAATAACAAAGGCCTAAAATAGACATTGTAAGAGAGTATTTATAATTTTAGTTCCATTTATTCTTGATTATAATTCCCCAGAATTTGACAATTTTTCTCTTTCTCATTTAGAAATGAATTTCTAATTCTAATGCGCAAGTCCAAGTTTTTGTTTAAAGTAAAAAATTGACAAATATGCTCTAAAAAATTTAATAAAATTCTGTATATTCCAAATGTATAATATATTCGATTATTGCTTGTCTTTCCTTGAATGTTTTTTATGTAAGTTGAACAGTTAAAAAAGAAAAGAAAAGAAGAAAAAAAACAGCTGCGTGTAATATTAGTTTCGTAGTATAAAAACAAGCCAATGCATTCTAGACAATTTTATAATGGAGTAG